AAGAGGCAGAGTGATGCCAATCGGGTTTTTATATATATAAGGTGAGAGAAATTAACACCGGAGATGAACTTTTCATCGCAAAATTAGAAAATAAGCATCTTCAGAGTGGTGTTTCTCGCACAATCTCATTCTAAACAGAGAGAAGCATTGCAAGGATAGTAACAACACCGGGTCAGCAGCAGTACCAGCTGTAGGACGTTACCACCGAAGGCCCTAACGAAAAATAAGTGCTTTTCGGGCCTACAAAGAACCTTGATCCGGCCCTGGGTCACTTCCTAAAATCTGAGACCCGTCTTAAATAGCTGAGCGCAGAATGGCAATGACCTGGCCACCACCACCAGCCACCCTCCCACCGCCTGCTCTGGTGAGCCCGTTGTGCCTGCTCATATCGCCCCGGAAACGTCAGGGATGTTGCAATGTTATGATATGAGGATGTGGAATGAAGAAAAGATTGTGTGGAAAAATATAAAATGATGTATCACCAAACAAAGAATCATGATGGAGATCAATAACTGTTCAGATGTGTAGGAACATCACGGAGAGAGGGAAAGATAATTTATTTACTTTGCTCAGCCAAGTGGGAAACGTTTCTCCTAAGTGGATCCTAACGTGCCAAGTGGATCCTAATGCATCAAGTGGATCCGAGTGGATCCTAAGTGGATCCTAACGCAACCAAGTGGATCCTAATGCATCAAGTGGATCCTAAGTGGATCCTAAGTGGGTCCTAACGCAACCAATTGGATCCTAAGTGGATCCTAACGCAACCAAGTGGATCCTAATGCATCAAGTGGATCCAAGTGGATCCTAAGTGGATCCTAACGCCACCAAGTAAATCCTAAGTGGATGCCACAGAGGCAGAGTCACGTTAATCGTTTTTTTTCCATCTCATGTGAGAGAAATTTACACCGGAGATTAACTTTCCGAGATTTATTTTCATCGCAAAATTAGCAATAACATTTTCAAATGGTGTTTCTTCCCCCCTCCCCCCGCACAGTCTCATTCTCAACGGAGAATAGTGCAAGGGAAGACGAAACGTCGTTGTGGGACGCGTGAGACAAGCGAGTGGCAGCGGCGGTAGTCGTAGTAACATGGGGCAGCAGCAGTCGCAACTGTAGAAGGTTGTCACTGAGTGGCCGACGAAACAGAAGTGCCTCGGGCCTACAAGAACCTCAACGCGGCCCTGGGTGGGAGACTGGGGGAGCATGAAGGGAGACTGGGGGAGCAGGAAGGGAGACTGGGGGAGCATGAAAGGAGACTGGGGGAGCAGGAAGAGAGACTGGGGAAGCAGGAAGGGAGACTGGGGGAGCAGGAGGGGAGACTGGGGGAGCAGGAAGGGAGACTGGGGGAGCAGGAAGGGAGACTGGGGAGCATGAAGGGAGACTGGGGGAGCAGGAAGGGAGATTGGGGGAGCAGGAAGGGAGATTGGGGGAGCAGGAAGGGAGATTGGGGGAGCACAAAGGGAGACTTGGGGAGCAGGAAGGGAGACTGGGGGAGCACGAAGGGAGACTGGGGGAGCACGAAGGGAGACTGGGGGAGCAGGAAGGGAGACTGGGGGAGCAGGAGGGGAGACTGGGGGAGCAGGAGGGGAGACTGGAGGAGCAGGAGGGGAGACTGGGGGAGCATGAAGGGAGACTGGGGGAGCACGAAGGGAGACTGGGGGAGCAGGAGGGGAGACTGGGGGAGCAGGAGGGGAGACTGGGGGAGCAGGAGGGGAGACTGGGGGAGCATGAAGGGAGACTGGGGGAGCATGAAGGGAGACTGGGGGAGCAGGAAGGGAGACTGGGGGAGCAGGAAGGGAGATTGGGGGAGCAGGAAGGGAGACTGGGGGAGCATGAAGGGAGACTGGGGGAGCATGAAGGGAGACTGGGGGAGCAGGAAGGGAGACTGGGGGAGCAGGAAGGGAGACTTGGGGAGCAGGAAGGGAGACTGGGGGAGCAGGAAGGAGACTGGGGGAGCAGGAGGGGAGACTGGAGGAGCAGGAAGGGAGACTGGGGGAGCAGGAGGGGAGACTGGGGGAGCAGGAAGGGAGATTGGGGAGCATGAAGAGAGACTGGGGGAGCAGGAGGGGAGACTGGGGGAGCAGGAAGGGAGACTGGGGAGCATGAAGAGAGACTGGGGGAGCAGGAGGGGAGACTGGGGGAGCAGGAAGGAAGGCTGCTGGAAGCCCTGGGAAGAGGGATTCGAGTTTGGGAGGTTTAAGCGAGAAGGGAGGAATGGGGGAGATAAAAAGGCACACACGTGTGTGTGTGTATATATAATGTTTGTGTGTTGAACTTCTTTCGCACCAGGCAGGCAGGCAGCCAGCCAGGCAGCCATCCAGGCAGGCAGGCAGCCAGGCAGCCAGCCAGGCAGCCAGCCAGACAGCCAGCCAGGCAGGCAGGCAGACAGCCAGCCAAGCAGCCAGCCAGGCAGCCAACCAGGCAGGCAGCCAGGCAGCCAGCCAGGCAGCCAGGCAGGCAGCCAGTCCCACTCGCACAAACGGGGGCGTCTCCGCGTTGCTGATAGCAGACGACGAGCGCCGGCCACGGACGCGTTTCGAGTCCGCGTCCGACGCGAGGTGGCGCGGCACGAAGTCTCAGCGGGGCTCCCTCCCGCACCGCCACGGTCGAAACGTTTCTGGGCTGAGGGTTGGCCCTGCTTCGGGGGAGGGAGGTTGGCACTGGGATGTGAACGATTGGGTTAGCGGGCCCCTGGTAGAGAAAGAGAGAGAGAGAGACTCTTTGACTTTTAAACAACTTTTATTGCCGCCAGCAGCAACAGCACTGGAGGCGATTCCGATATGAAATACACACAGTCACCAGCAACACAAATAAACTTCTATAAATCCACGCGCTGTGGCGCTAAATGCACCGCGCACAACACGAAAGAAAAGTCACGTGGTGGTGGTTGGTGGTGGTCATCGCGCACGCCACATAGACACAGACCTCCCGGTGACTGTCGCCTGATGCAGACTGCCCGGGGCTAATGCGTACGCTGCTCTCTGCGTTGTGTCCTTGCGTGTCAATCCACCCGCTGGACGAGAGGCTGTTCCCACGCGCGGAGCGGGTCGTGGGAGCTTATTTGACCATACTTCACCACGCCGGGCGGTGCTTCCTCGAAGACGGGCAGCATAGACGTGGGGGCACAGTCGAGGACGCGATTTTAATCTTCTGTGCTGCCCTCGCACCCTGCAGCCTATAACACCTGGGCATTGGACGGCGTTCCTTCATCCAGGCTCACAGCCTGCTTAGCTTTGCCGAGGTCTGTTGAGATCGGGCGACTTGGTTCCGATGTTAGCGAGCGCCTATTGACAGGCGCCAAAACGTCGCACGCCCGCTCCCGTTGGAATGTGTACCCGCCGTTTAAGGCTGAGTCTACCTAGGGGGGGGGGGGGGCGACACCGCTTCAGATTTGCGTCACCGATGTTGGCCGTGAGCGGGAATTTGAGCTCGTCGTGTCTGGGGGGGGGTCGGTGACGCTGAGCACTGCGCCATCGCTCCCCACAAAGGCAAAGATCCCCCGTGTAGCCTTTAACAGACTGTAGGGGCAAGTGCTGTTTGTGAGCACCTGTGAAGGAAGGCCGGCACGGCACACGAGGGGGTGGGTGACCAACTCCATGCCCGGCCGCCTTTGTCTCACCAGTGGCGATGTTTACACACTGCACCGGATACTCATTTGAGGCCGAGTCGACCTAGGCGATGCCCGGGAACTTTTTTCAAATAATCGTCACCGATGTTTGGCCATGAGCGGGAATTGAACTCGGTCTCTGCCGGGTTCGTAGCGCAGCGTGCTAATCGTTGCACCACCGCTCCCCACACGCACACCACTAAGATGATACTTTATTTAAAAAAAACTAGAGCGGTCTGGTTCAATTCCCGAAGGTAAAATCCCGAGTGTTTTTTTACTCCGTGATGAAACGTGTTTTTGACTTCGCTCGCCGATGTGCGTGTGCCGTGCGCAATATCATGATCATAATCGACACACTACGCATTGTGTGTGGTGGTGTGTGTGGTGGTGTGTGTGTGTCTGTTATTACTTTGTGGTGGGGGGTTTTTTCGTTCGAAAAATACCAGCAGTCCTTTCCAAAACGGCGGAGGAATTGTTAAGAATAATAAACGGCGCCGCGTTTACTACGACCCAGCTCCGTGCGCCCTCACCCTCCTCTCTCCTCCATCTCCCTCCTCTCTTCCCTCTCTGCTCTCACCCTCTCTGCCAGGTCATCATTCTCTCCGCCTTCCTTGCTCCTCCACCACCTCCATCATCATCTCTTCTTCCTCCTCCAATCTTTTCCCAGCCTCCCTGGCCTCTTCTTACGTCTTCTCGTCCCTATTCTCCTCTCTGTTCCTATTCCTTTCTCATCTTCCATCTCTTCGCTCGCTTGCCCTTCTCCCTCTTCTCCTCCCCCATCTCCACCCCTCTTTTTCCTTCCTCCACGCGCTCTCTCCTCCTTCTTCTCCTCCTCCTCTCTGCCCTTCCTCCTCTCTCATTCCCCTCCCTCTTCTCTCTCGAATCATCCTCACTCCCGATCCCCTCTGCCCACTCCCCCCCTCTCCCCCTCCACTCTCCTCTTTGCTCTCCTCCTGAGCCGCTCCTCATCTCCTCCCAGCTCCTTCGCTGCCTGCACGAAGAAGTGAAAGCGTCTGGGCGCGCTGCCTCCCACTCGGGGAGACACGGGGACAGGGAGACACGGGGACAGGGAGACACGGGGACAGGGAGACACGGGGACAGGGGGACACGGGGACAAGGAGACACGGGGACAGGGAGACACGGGGACAGAAAGACACGGGGACAGGGAGACACGGGGACAGGGAGACACGGGGACAGGGGGACACGGGGACAGAAAGACACGGGGACAGGGAGACACGGGGAAAGGAAGACACGGGGACAAGGAGACACGGGGACAGGGAGACACGGGGACAGGGGGACACGGGGACAGGGAGACACGGGGACAGGGGGACACGGGGACAGGGAGACACGGGGAAAGGAAGACACGGGGACAAGGAGACACGGGGACAAGGAGACACGGGGACAGGGAGACACGGGGACAGGGAGACACGGGGACACGGGGACAGGGAAACACGGGGATCACGAGGACAAGGAGACGGAGACTCGCCTGCCTCGCGATGGGACCTCGCACCGCGTGGATGTTCGTCTTGTACGGCTCCTGCTCTCTTCTTGCCTTCACCGCAGGTGCCGCCGCTTCCCAGTCGACAACTGCCCACGGAGTGTGTGCGACCCACAGGCTCATCACTGTCCCACCACGAGACACGTCGTGATTGATGTAGATCCGTTTAGCCACGTGGGATTCCGTGCCAAAGTGGTAACGAATTGGCGCACCAAAGTCCCAACTAACCGTGGCAGGTGTTTACTTTAATACGTAGTTGTGCGCTTTCGCGACCAAATATCATCCGCGAAGTTTTTGTGAGTTAGATCGCGTAAATAAAAATGTGTCGTTAAACCCGCCACCACCCGACAAATCTGGCTCTCGCCTGATGATGCTCGTTGTAATCACTGTCGAAACGTCGTACTCGAATTGCCAATGTTGTGTTCTTAACGAATTGCCACGTTTTGTTTACGTGACGAACTTTACTGATTGGCCGTGTTTGGTGGTGGCAGGTTTAACTACACATTTATATTTACGTGATTGAACCCAAAACAACTTCATTATATACGTAGATCCGGCTCGGAGGCCGGAAAATGTTTCTGAACTCGGCACACCACGTCCAGTATACAGGCCTCGCTATGGCTATGTATTATGATTGTTGTTATTCATGTGCCTATATATAGTCTGCAAACGACCCGGGCAGTATTCAGTTAGCAATTAAGCCGTGTGTGCAGTTCGTTTGAGGTGATGTAGGGAGCGCTGATTCAACCTTATAGTGAGATCGTGTGCGTGTACTTGTGGGGAGCGGTAGTGTAGCGGTTAGCGCGCTGCGCTACTAACCCGGCAGCCCGAGTTCGACTCCCACTCACGGCCAACACGGGTGACGATTATCTGAACCGGTCCTGGGCCTCCCCAAGGTCGACTCAGCCTCAATTGAGTACCCGGTGCGATGTGTAAACATCGCCACTGGGGAGACAAAGGCGGCCGGGCGTGGTGTTGGCCACCCATACCCTCGTGTGCCGTGCCGGCCTTCATAGGTGCTCGCTAAAAGCACTTGCCCCTACAGTTTGTTAAGGCTATACGGGGGATCTTTGTCTGTGTACTTGTGTTCCAGGTGACGTAGAGAGAGCGCTGATTCAATGTATGAGAGAGATCAAGCACGTGAACTAGTTCCATGTGACCGTGGAGCTTTGTTCAAATTACGACACAGGGCGTGTTTAGCAATCATCGGGCGCGTGGGGCGTGCAACAACTTAATTTGCGTCTGAATGGAGAAGACCAGAAAGTGTGAAAAACGCAGACGCTCCAGTGTTGTGGTCGGTATCACGAACTGGAGCGTGGAGTTTGGAAACCCTGGTGTAAGTGTACATTTACCCTGGATCAAACCTAGCTTTGATTATTTTATGTTATTTATTTCATAGCTTTGCGTCCACCTATGACCCATGCCTACCCGAGACGGTCATTGGACATTTGGCAGCTCGCCACCATGTTTGGTTCATGCAAAGGCTGATTCTGCCGATGAGAAACTGAATGTCGATACCGGTCCAGAATGTTTGTTGCGTTGAAGCAGCGCTCCTGAAATTATTACGTCCTTCCAAGGGGGCCATGTATGTGGCTTATCGAATGTAAAAAAAAAAAATGTGTATGTGGCGGTACAAATCGTGAGATGTGATCTCCATCGCCTGGCATGGAGGAGGTCGTGGGTTCGATCCCAGACCCAGATGATCCCTGCTGTATTTTTGGTGTTCTCTCCCCACGGTGGTCGCGTGGATTTTTCCTCCGAATTTTTTTTATTCCAGTTTTGCCATCTACATTTAGAAGCACGCGTTTAGATGATTTGGCTGCTACTATGAATTCCCACGCGTGATGATGATGATATCAGCCACTTTGATGAGCCGTCACGGTGTGACCAATTCGCCTCTGAAAAATAGTTCATCGCTCAGCGGGCTTAAACTGTGTACAAAGTGGAGCGCCACGGTGGTGAGATGTTAACTACCGCGCCTGGTGTACAGGAGGTCATGGGTTCGATCCCGACCCTGATGACGCCTTCTGTATATTTGGAGTTTGCGTGTCTCTCTCTCCGTGGCCGTGTGGATTTTTCTCCGGTTTCCCCCTCCACATTTAAAGTAAAAAAAAAGTTTAGTTTAGTATGAAAAATAAGAATAAAGGTTTTACCCTTTCTGGCAATAAAACAGTCGTTAACAAGTTCAACACCAAATTTGATACCGGAGGGCATGCGACTGACGGGACGGACGCTTTGCTCGACCGGGGGTTGCAGGGCAGAATCTGAGTTCGTGTTGCGCCTCGGGGAGAATGCGCGCGGCTGGCGAGGGCCAGTGCTCGCAGAACGTGAGAGGAACCGCGGGTGCTGAGGACGACCCGTGCAGGTAAATCCCCACTCACCCCCCGTCCCCCCAGGAACATTCATCAAGCCGTGATTTGTCCCGGCAGAGATTCGCCGAGTCTCGATCCCCGGCGGTCGGGGGGGGGGGGGGGGGGGGGGGGGGGGTGGCGACGTTGTCCCGTCCGCTTTTCCGCGGAGATTTTGGCGGTTCGAATCTGGCGGCGGCCGCCCTGGTTAATGCCGCGGCCGCACGCTTTGCGGTACGCGTCAACGGTGCCGTGACGCCGTTCATTCGCAGGGGCGGGTAAAAAAAATCTGCGTGCCGATATGACGGCCAAAATTTGCGTGCCAGCATTACGGTAAAATATTTGCCACGTTTTAAATGTTACAACGCAAAATGGGTCGATTGTGGAAAAAAAATTGTCACGGTACTCGGTCAAGCTTTTCTGGATAAACAAGCAAAATAAATTACACCGATGTAATCTCATGAACAAAGTAACGGTTGCCAAGGTGACCGAAGACAGACGTTTTTTTGTAACTTATTTTTTTTACCAGGTAAGGCCCACTGAGCTATGTAGCTCTCTTTCAGATGCGACCTGCCCATCACAAATGATAGCCCAACGAAGTGGCTTATCATCACGTGGAAATGTATAGCAGCCAAATACTCTGAGCGCGTGACGTTGATTCTACATTTGGAGGGGAAAAACCGGAGGACCTGGAGAAAAATGCACGCGGCCATGGGGAGAGAGACTCGCAAACCCCAAATACACAGGCATCATGGTCGGGATCAAACCCACGACCTCCTGTATACCAGGCGAGGCAGTTAACATGGCGCCTCCACGGCACTTAGATTTGGCCCCAGGGTTTGGGGGAAGTGGCAAGCGTCAGACAACCGTGGCAATCCAACATCATAACTGATGTAAAATATTTTACTTCACAGCAATCAATTAATAATCAAAAACAACGATCGAACTCAGGCTGCCGGGCTTCGTAGCGGAGTGCTTCTCGCAACTGCGCCACCCGCTCCCGAAGTGTCGGACAAAATTTGGAAGCCTTCATTGGCACAGCCTTGATCGACGCGCATGCCGCAGTTGCCGTAGCTTGTGGGCAGCGCCCTGCAGCAGCACGTGCCTGACGGCTTGCGTTGCGCACGAAGCCACGCCGTCTCGTCTTCACCGCCAGCTTTGAACTTGAACGGTCTGCGACAAAAACAAAAATTACCTGAATACAAACCCAGACGCACGCATCACCCAGACACCGGCCCGATACTTACTCCTGAGCGCCTTAAAAGCCCGCGCGGGCATAGGTGTGGGAGAGTGTTCCGATCAGCGAGCGCCCCATCTCCATTCCAGTCCCTAAATGCACCCCACATTTTAGCTGGAATCGTCCAAAACATCCCCCGGCTTTTTGGCACAGACCCACATCGCTCGGCACGCCGGAGGCTGCCTTATATGGGCGAGGGTTTTGCAAAAAAAAATCTTTGGGGACTGGGGGGGGGGAGGGATTTCCTAATTCTTCGAGCAGTCGAGGTGATTGATGACCGAGCAGTCGCTGATTCTCTCCAGTCACTCACCAGCGGCCAGTCGCCTCCTTACCAAATCTGCTATCGCTACCACTGCCACGAACTTCACTCGTTGATTCCTGCGGTACATTTTCCACGCGATAAGCCCGCTTCGTTGGGCTGTCATTTGCGATGGCCAGGTCGCTTCTGCAAAAGAGCTACGCAGCTCAGTGGGCCTTGCCTGGTCAAATATATGTTTTTTTAAAGTTTAATTCAATTTAATCTCTGTCTTGTTTTGGGCCGCTTAGCGTCACGACGTTGCTGTGCTGCCTGGCCTCTGTGCGGAGAGCGGCGTGCGAGCTCGGGATGGAGCTGGCGACACGCGGCGGCGAGACGTGCAACGCCAGCGAAGGCTGCCAGGTGGGAGCCCACGTCCTGGCAGAGAGACCACAGGACACGGCGAGACAGAGACACGGCGAGACAGAGAGACAGAGACGCAGGGCGACAGAGAGACAGAGACGCAGCGAGACAGAGAAACAGAGACACAGCAAGAGAGAGATACAGAGATGCGGCGAGAGAGAGACAGAGACGCAGCGAGACAGGGAGACAGAGGCGCGGTGAGACAAAGAGACAGAGACACAGCAAGAGAGAGAGATACAGAGATCCGGCGAGAGAGAGAGACAGAAATGCGGCGAGACAGGGAGACAGAGACGCAGGGAGACAGAGAGACAGAGACGCAGCGAGACAGGGAGACAGAGACGCGGCGAGACAGGGAGACAGAGACGCGGCGAGACAGAGACGCAGCGAGACAGAAAGACAGAGGCGCGGTGAGACAGAGAGACAGAGACACAGCAAGAGAGAGAGATACAGAGATGCGGCGAGAGAGAGAGACAGAGACGCGGCGAGACAGGGAGACAGAGACGCAGCGAGACAGAAAGACAGAGGCGCGGTGAGACAGGGAGACAGAGACACAGCAAGAGAGAGAGATACAGAGATGCGGCGAGAGAGAGAGAGACAGAGATGCGGCAAGAGAGAGACGCAGTGAGACAGAGGCAGAGAGACACAGCAAGACAAAGGCACAGCATGACAGAGGCGCAGCGACACAGAGACACAGGTAGACAGAGACACAATGAGACAGAGTTAGATAGGGATGGAAAGATCAATGCATCACCCATGTCCTTACCGAACCTTAGCAGCGGCTCCTTCTCTCCCAGTGTGGAGGTGGTGCCATTGGCGCCAGTGGTTGACCCGCCTCTGATTAGCCGACCGGATAAACTTTATCCGCCTTTGGTAATGAAACGTGTCACAATTTGGCATCCGTTCATCGACTTTATTCACGCAGGGGAAAAGGCAGTTTCGTCTGAGCAAATGGCCCAGCAGCTGTGTTAATTGGTTCCACGAAAACCATCGTAAATTGAACTGATCGTGAATACATTTTAAAGGCTTCATTTGTTCCAAGACGATCGGAAGTTGACCTTTTTAACCCTAAAAACATAGTTTATAATATTTAAATACGCAATTTTTTTTTCTATAAATGAACGTCATAAGAACATATTAAAGCATTAATATTAATAGAAACATAGATAAATAACGAACAAATATAGAGCATTAAAAGTTTAATAGAGCATAACATTTAAAAAATATTACCTTAGGCTTAAGGGGTTGATGGAGAAGTTGGAGTGGGAGGTAATTTATTTTTGGAAGGAGAGTCTCCTTCCAAAAGGGTTTCGCTGATTGGCTGAGGTCTGCTGAGTCCACTTAGGAGAGGTCCGATTGGCTGAAATTGGCGGCCACGTGATATCGTAAACATATCGTTAATCGAAGATGTATCGTTAATCGAAACAATGGGACCCTATAGGTAGAGGGATCATTAATCGAAACATCGTTAATCGATGGCATCGTAAACCGAGGGATCACTGTATAGGCATTTGCGTTTCTTCTCTCACATACTTACTTCTCTTTCCCCGTGTCCCCGCATCTCCACGTGCCTGTGTACCCGCCCCCCCGCCCCGGAATCTCGCCAGTCCTGCTGCAGCTGCTGCCGCCTGGGCAAGCAGGCCCAAGGCCTGGGCCTGGCTTGCGCGGCCCTGCCCGGCCTGGGCTCGCTGTGCGGGCAGGCGTTCGAGGCGTGCTGCCGTGGTGGGGACCGCCTGCCCCCCGTGCGGTTCGACGAACTGAGCGTGGAGGGTGGAAGCCGCGTCGCCGAAGCAACCAGGGCCCCATCGCTCACCGCGCTGCGGACTGCCGCCCCCCTGCAAGGTCCAGCAGATGCGTGAAAGGCGGTGGTTACGCGAGGGGGTGCATTCGTTGCTGGCGATTGCCACTGGCGACGCTTTTTACTACGAGCAACTATCCAGTAATAACTTACGTGTGTATGTTGAACTTCTTTCACACCGTACGGAGCCAACCATGCTAATCGGAGGTGATGAGCCTCAAATTAAAGCAAAAAAATCTAGAAATTACTGAGTTTTCTAACTTTTCAGGACGATAACAAAAATTCTATTTTTTACAGTTTGGTTTTGTCATCATCAAGCATATAATAGTTGAGCGCATCTTGACGCTCACAAAAGTGGCATCACCAAAACGGCCACGTGACACGCTACTTTTTGGTGGGAAAAGCAAAGTGACGCCATTCACTGATCCGTGTGGTTCCGCGATCTTCCCGGATTTGTGTCCCTCTGGCGAAAGGGAACGGACGCAGGGTGGAGCAGGAAAGCCGCTCGGGGGATGTCGTGCGGCTGCCCTTGAACCCATGCAAAGGTTTGTGATGGGGCAGCAGCTAAACAAACCAAGCCAACCAACACACGACCAGTTAGCGCTGAACTCACAACTAATTGGGCACGTTCTGTTTACGTGACAAACCTTGTACTCCACCACGCCAAGACAGTGCAGGAGCATAACCGTTGGAGTCAAGGTGGATCCAAGGGGTGGGGGTGGCGGGTGGCGGGGCAATGAGAGGTGCCGCAGCCCAAAATTGGGAAAGTTTTTGGATCCACCTCGGAATGGGGGGCACATAGACAGCGCAGCTTTGTACAACAATGGACTTTGCTGCGCAACACGGAACTGTCCACCGCATCGCCACGTTTTGTACAGTCACACCGCTGTTTGCATCGGAGTGGGAGGGGGGGGGGAGTGGAGGATGCGTTCCTGAACAGCGCGACGACGAATATCGAAACGACGTAACAAACCGAAGCGGTTTACAGGGTTAGTAGTAGTATAGTGACGCAGATCGGAGACAGCAATAACTGGAGGCACTTTTTTTATTAAACAAGCACCATCGGGATAACACACAACACCCTATGTGGGTGCACACTATTATTATTAAGACCGTCTATTGTCGATGGCACTACTTAGTTAGAAACGTTGGTAGGCAGTCTGACTAACAGCACCCCGGGATGGTGAAGACGGAGACGAGGAGGAGATGGTGATGACGACGACATGGCGACGACAATGATCTTGAACAGCCACGATGGGGATTCCACTTCCAGCAACAGCCCCGAGCTCCTGCTTGGGGCCCCCTCTTATACTCCCAGCGTGGCCTTGCTCCGCCCCGACCACGCCCCCGTTCTGGAACCTACTCGCGGGTTCCCGGGGCTTCCCGATGGGCCCCTTCTGTGACCTTTCCCCGAGATGTCCCCCTCTCTGTCGTGGCCTGCTCACGCGAGCACTGCCGTACACCGCAGTTACCTTTTCCACCAGCAGCCGGCGCTACGCCACTACAGTAGTCGTGGGTGGTGTAGGCGAAGGCCGAGAGGCGACGGATAACGGGAAATGACGGACGATGCTGTCAGCGACGTGAGCGCATGAAGGGGGGGGGGCAGGTGGTGGCGACGCAAATCGGGCGGCGGTGTTAGTAAGAGCGCGACGGCGTGTTTGCGAAACGACGAGACGGGGGGACGGCGGAGGTGCAGCTGCAGCAACACCGGCGCGCGCGTTCGGTGTCCCTGCCGTGTCGTGGCCGTCGTGCGCAGGGCCCCCTCGCTGCGACCACAAGTGCGAGGACGTGCGCGGGGCGGCCGTCTGCTCGTGTCTCCCGGGGTTCCAGCTGCAGGCCGACGCCAGGACCTGCGTGGGTCGGTGACGTCCCCGGCTCTCTGCACCAGACGGTTTTTTCCCGTGACAAAACAAACGCGTGTTGTGAAATAACCGAAATAAAATATAAAAAATTTAACAAATATATATTAAAAAAAGGCTTCACGCTTTCTGGCAATACCACGGGTGGTTAAAGATGTTCATATTATCCTTCTTATGTTCATCATTTTGATACTGGGCACAAAGCTCCCATCGATAAAACATAGGGTCTTTTTGTTTCTTCTCTCCTCGGTTTTATCCAAGTTGTCCCATCGTTGTCACGTCACGAGATGAGGAATCCATTCCGGATCGTTTGTCTCTTTCTGCGTACTCTCGTCTCATTTGTTCTATTTACCCTAAAGTAAAACAAAATGTACATCTCTTTTTTTGTCTTTGCTCCTAATTTTAACCATACATCACGTCACCAGACCAAGTCTCCATTCAAACCGCTCACAGAGCAGCGGCAACCACTTACGCTTTAGAGAACAGCCCGCAGAAGTAGATATCACAGAGCTACCTTTGAGATCGCTTCAAGTGACCTCTGGTCCAAACAGTTAGGGGCAGCACTTTCAGAGCTGTGGTAGCGAGATGTTGACTACCTCGCCTGGTATACAGGAGGTCGTAGGTTCGATCCCAACCCTGACGCCTGTATAATTGGAGTTTGCATGTTTTCCCCGTGGTCGCGTGGATTTTTCTCGGGGTCCTCCGGTTTTTCCCTTCACATTTAGAAACAATCGTTTTAGAGTGTTAGGCTGCAATACATTTCCACGTCATGATAAGCCCACTTCGTTGAGCTATCATTTGTGATGGGCAGGTCGCTTCTGAATAAGTAATATTTAAAAATACTTTTTTTAAAACACGCTTTTATCAATTGTACTAGTAATGGAAGAACTCCACGACTCCAGGAAGTGGCCCCGAAGCTTGCCAAACGTAAGGGACCGTGGCCAATTACAGCCAACGTCAGTTGAGCGTGGACAATTAGACCCAAGCCGAAACATAACATATAAAAAATAATGTTTAAAATATTCTTTTTATTTTTTATGATAGAATATAGTAATTGTCATCGGTATGACATAAGTATACAAAGTTTGCAGTTGATACCACATTGGGAAGTGGGTTAAAATCGAGTTACAAGATTTGAGGATACGACAATGATAACAACAACGACAACAACAACGACAACAACAACAGAGTGAGTTAAATGAAAGCGTGTAAAAAAGAGCTACATAGCTCAGTGGGCCATACCTGGTAGAATGAAAAAAATGTTTAGTTCAGTTTTTAGCACCTCCCCACCCACCCTGTTACAATGACAGTCAAACCATTGTGTTTAACTCTCAGAGCTGGTAATTAACCAAATTAAGTGCAGAACCAAATATGATGGGGGGGGGGGGGGGGAGGGGGCAAAATGTACTGGTTCGTGACCAGCCTACGATCATCGACTCACTACATCGAAAAACGAACGGTTCAATCACGGTGACCAGGTAGATGAAACCTGGACTCGAACCCAGGTGCAACGCTCTTCTGAGTCACCTGGCCACATCTTTTTCTAAATATATATTTTTAACACTAGTGCATGGTAGTTGATTTTTCTGGATAATCCCAAACGTGCGCCCGTTCTTAATAAAGTAGTTACACAAATCTGGTAACACACACATACATACCGACCGGAATATGAAACTGCCCCATCCTCCCCCCCCCCCTCTCCAAATTTTGATTTTAAAAAACAAGTGCATTTAATAATCCAGAAAAGAAGGTAATATTGCTCGAGTCGTAGTGTTACAAGTAACGGAATTCATTCGTGACGGCGACGCCCGGGGAGATGGAGCGATTAAATCCGTTCACGTGCAGGTGCTGGGTGAGAAAACGCGGCTTGAAGAGGCGTTCATTTAGCAGTGGATCGAGCAACATTGACGACAACGACGATGCGATTGCAAAATATAAATAATGTCATTAATCCGTCTCCCACCGCCTTGTGCTCCTGCGCAGATGTGAACGAGTGTGCGGCGGTGCCAGCGCCGTGCCCGCAGGACCACCGCTGCGTCAACACGCTGGGCTCCTTCGCCTGCCAGCAGGACAGCGCCACGTGCGGGCGGGGATTCCGTGCCAGCCCCGACGGCTCCCAGTGCCTCGGTAGCGACCGCCGCACCACCACCACCGACGGACAGCGCCGCTCCTCACGCAAACGCAGAGCACCGCTCACACGCACGCACACACGCCGAGTGACGCTCACACACACACACACACGCAGAGTGACGCTCACACGCACACACACACTCGCAGAGTGACGCTCACACACACACTCACAGAGCACCGCTCACACACACACTCACAGAGCACCGCTCACACACACACTCGCAGAGTGATGCTCACACACACACTCACAGACTGACGCTCACACACACACACGCAGAGTGACGCTCACACGCACATTCACAGAGCACCGCTCACACACACACTCACAGACTGACGCTCACACACACACTCACAGACTGACGCTCACACACACACACGCAGAGTGACGCTCACACGCACATTCACAGAGCACCGCTCACACACACACTCGCAGAGCGCCGCTCCTCCCACAAACGCATTCCCCGGGCTGGCTGTCCATTCTCTGGGCTGGCTGGCTGTCCGTTCTCCGCGCCACCTACGCTTCTCGCTCAACGAACGCTCCTCCCCTTGCTGTCCACTGATTTTCAGCGGTAGCTGCAGCAGCGGCAGCATTCCCACTCTCCAGCCCTTGCCAAAGTGTCGTGGATCCGAGGAAAATGGGGGGGGGGGGGGGGGGGGCAGTGATGGGGGGAGGGCAATGGGGGGCGATTATCCCCCCCCCTTACACCAACGTTTTCCTTTGAGACCCTGAAAAGTGGTTTATTGTTACAAGGTAATAATAAGATTTTTTATTTTATATAGCGTCATTCGTGCTAATAGCATCCCATAACGCCATACATTATTTATATAGAAGGAACCAAATCCTAAATGCAGCCACGACCTACTACTACCAAGCAAAGTCAAAAATAAAAATCACAAACAACCACAAACGAGTTGTCGCCAACAAAGACATTGAGCAGGGAAGATCATCGCGTGAACGTTTTTTTTCTCTCGTTTGTGATGAATGTAGTGCCACGTTTAAAACACGTGACATTTCGGGGTCATACTTGCCCTCTCTTTAGAGTATTTGGCTGCTCAGTTGAACACGTAGTAGGCTTTTGCGACTAATATTTTCCACAATAGAGGTTTTTGGGTTAGATCGCGTAAATGTAAATCCGCCGTTAAACCCGCCACCAAACCCACAACATTTACAATTGTGAATGTTGTTTACAATTGTAAATGTTGTGGGTTTGCTCTCCAACACACCGGTGTGCTGCTGTACCAGTAATGAATTAGCACGTTCTCTTTACGTGACAAACCTTACCAATTGGCTGTGTCGGGTGGTGGCGGGTTTATTAACGCGATCTAACCCAGAAAAAACTCTGTTATGGATATTTGGCTGCTGCTATAAATTTCCATGCGATGATACGCCACTTCGTTGAGCTATGAGCTGTGATAGCCAAGTCGCTTCTGACAAAGGGCTATGTAGCTCAGTGGGCCTTACCTGGTAAAATTAAATACAAATAATTTAGTTTTTCGTTTAGTTTCTTGGGAAGTGTCCCGATCTGCTTCTGCCAGAGTGGGACCCTGCCACATCCCTGAATGTGACGCGTAGATACGACTCAAAATGCAAACATTGATTCTCTCGCAGAATACAACAACAACAACAATCCAACGTCACTTTACGCTAGCGTGTAGACAAGTAACCATTTCACATAAATTATCCGAAATTCCGAAAAGAAAGATCTGAAATCGTCCAAAACATTTTTTGAACATTTTTTTTTTTAAACAGGTTGTCGGACATAAGGTTGTCTTCTTATGCTTGGTATTGCCGTATTGCTGATCTCGTCAAGGAGCATGAACTATCATGCGAACTCCGGTCATCTTCGCAGCAGCAGCAGCAGCAGCAGCAGCTTTTGGCTGCCCATCGAGCAAAAGACAGTCAGCGCATCGTGCGCTTTCAGATGCGCTTCCGTTCTTTCCTATATTAGGAAGCCGCTGGAGCTATCCACTTTTAAATCATCTCGAGTGAAAACTATTTTTTTTCGAACTGCTTTTTGCGTTTAGTTTGCCGTCCTTTGCCCCGGCACCTCCGATTAGCACGGGTTGGCTACGTACGTTGCGAAGGAAGCGCATACATTACGCATGCGCTTCCTCCGCAGAGGTGGCCGACCCCCGTTTAATTCACGGCACGAGGGCCCGCGCCAAACGCGCCAACGGCACCGCATCGCCCACGTGGCAGCCGGCGTCGTAGGCCCTCGACGCGCGGGTCCACGCAGGTCCACGCAGGTCCACGCGGGTCCACGCAGGTCCACGCGGGTGACACTGCCGTGGGGCGCGCTCGTGCCCGGAACCGAGGTCGCCGAAACCTCGCGCCCACCTCCCCGCTGCTGCGGTACCACCGCCGGCCACCGCTCCGCGTCGTTTCCACCGATTCGGCTGCGGACCTCTCGGCCCGAGGCGCCCCCCGGCAGTAAAGCGCGAGCGAAATTCTCATCACACTCGGCCGTTGCAGGCGCAAACCCTTCACTCCAGTAGCTTCGCCGTCGCTTGCGCTTGGCTCGCCTCCCCTTAGCGAGGCGTCGGCATGGCCCGCACCCCCCCCCCCCCCGCCGCTCCGTGCGCTGAGGCTGCGGTGTCTGGCTCGGCTTGGCGTGCAGACGTGGATGAGTGCTCGTGGGGGGCAGGCCGCCCGTGCGGCCCCGCGCGCCTCTGCGTTAACACGGCCGGCGGCTTCCGCTGCGACTGCTTGCCGGGGTTCGCCTACGAAGGCATCGGCGGGCTGTGTGTCGGTGAGGCCCCCCCACAACCTTCACCGCCGATTCCCACCCCCCGCTCCCTCTCTTCCACCGTCGCCTTCTTATTCTCCCTTTTCTTCTTGCCAATGGAACCGTACTGAGATGTACAGCCACAGCTACCAGCATTTGTGAAAGGCTCAACGGGGACGCGTGCACGGTGAGCTGTCGGCCCCCCCTGCCTCCATCGGCGCCACCCACTTTGACATAGCCACACCCACTCAGTCACTACCCCCCCCCCCATCCACACGGCGAGTGACCTCTGACATCGACATTGACCCCCCCTCCCGTCTAACCGCTCATAGGCCCCACCCACTACTCTGCCAACCCCGCCCACTACTCGGTTAGCCCCGCCCACTAACCGGGTAGCCTCCGCCCACAACTAGGGCAGCCCCCGCCCACTACCCGGGTAGCCCCGCCTGCTACTCAGGTATCCCCGCCCACCAATCGGCAGCTGTGGGAAAAACCTCGTGTCAAGCCTGCAACTTCACAGACGCCTGCCATTGAACACTGTGCCGCCTTACAAACAATATTTTTTACCCGCCGCTGCAAGCATCTCAGCCGCACTAATCGGGTGCTTAGAGGGGAAATGCTTTCGACCTGGCAACAACAACAGTGTCACTTTGCGTGTCCTCTCGCGGTGACAGATGTCACGAACGCACGCGCGTGTGTGTTTATTAGCGGACTCTGACCAAGGGTATTTGAGAGTAGTTTTCGGCCCTCAGTAAGGAGAGGGTTCCCGACTCCTGATTGAATGGGGTGAAAGCCAATGACTTGCATTGTGCCCAGTTACCAGAAGAACCCTGGCTGCTTTGCACATCATCAGTTCCCCCAATTATACAATTTAATTGCAACAACACCTCAGTATTTTATACTCTGCAGAGATCCGTCGAAAAAAAAGAGTAAAGACACACCCGCTGCAAACTGCAATGACGCCGCTTTCTAAAGAGCACAATTTTCATTGAGCTGCGGACAACAGCTCCGATTGGCACGGCGGGCCACATGCGGCCTGAGTGAAGTTCAACGTACACACAGCTGCCTTGAGGTGCCCTTCCGCGATGACGTTCGCTGTCTCCGCCTGTTTGTAAAGATGTGAACGAGTGCAGGCAGTACCCTGGACGCCTCTGCGCGCACAGCTGTGAGAACACCCCAGGATCCTACTACTGCACCTGCAGCCTGGGTTTCCGATTGGCTGCCGATGGGAGGAGTTGTGAAGGTGGACAAAACGCAGCCTTCCCTTCCTTCCGACTGGCATGGCACCACGGTGGCTAGGAGATGTTGACTACCTCGCCTGGTATACAGGAGGTGGTCGTGGGCTCGATCCCGACCCTGACGCCTGCTGTATATTTGGAGTTTGAGTGTCGCTCCTTCTCTCATCATCATCACGGTGGATAGATGTTAACTACCTCGCCTGGTATACAGGAGCTGGTCGTTAGTTCGATCCCGACCCTGACGCCTGCTGTATATTCGGAGTTTGCGTCTCTCTCACCGCGGTCGCGTGGATTTTTCTCCGGGTCCCTCCGGTTCTACCCTCCGAATTTAGAATTGACGTGCTGTTTTAAGGGCCTTTGGCTGCTGTGCTTTTCCACGTGACAAGCCGCTTCGTTGAGCTATCATTTGTGATAGGCAGGTCGCTTCTGAAAAAGAGCTGTACAGCTCAGTGGGCATTACCTGGTAAAATAAAAAAAATATATCATCGTAGTCGTAGTAGTTCCCCATGCACGTGGGCTCTGTCTCGCGTCTCCCTTCTCTCTCTCTCTCCACTGGTCCCCGTCACGGTCATTTTTCGACGCACGCGCTCTCGGTCTCTGCCCCGGTGCTTCCATGTGCATCTCCTTCAAAAGCGGGGTTTCCTTTCGTCACGTTTTTGAAATGTTGGCGTGCGCTTTAAACGTCCTAATTATTATATCCTACTGCTACTACGCGGCCTCGCCATCTGAGTCAAGCCTCTTTGATCCTCTCTGAGATGGGCGCCACCACTCTCAGAAACTGGAGGTGCCTGGAGAAAACCCAACAGGCGAAAGAGACGGGATAACTTTTAAAGGTTCAAACATGTGTATTCACGAACCCGCTTGCTGTGCTGCCATCTCGTGGCCACTTTGCAGCTCAGCGGGTTCGAGTGTTTCACAAATCTGAAATGATCCACGGGATCCCTGCCACAGGCGCGTGCCACCGCACGCCCGCTCGCCCGATGGCCACTTTTACCCTTTTTTTTCCACGGGCACATCCGAGCCGAGCCAGCGCCGGGGAGCCCTCACGGTTCGGTTTAAGTGTTTCCACGGCCTGTTTGCCGAGCCCTACGAGCCGCCGCTGTCCAGAGCGACAGCGGCCGATGACGATCGCCACGCGGCGCCCGTCACCTTCCCCGTCCCGCGTGGCGCACGTTCGGAACGAAGGAGGGCTTTAATTATATTTTTCTTCCTCTTCCAACTATTTTCACGTAGCCCGGTTGGTCGATCAACCGAACCGATGATGTAACCGGAAAACCGAAAGAGAAATCGATCGCGTAAATGATCGGACTGGCCCGGCGCTAGCTACCAACGGATGCCTGCAGGTGCTAACGTGCCGACTGAACGGTGATCCTGCGTCGGACGACAAAATCGACCGAATTTGCGTCGTCCGTGGCGTGTGTCCGTGGCGTGGCAGACGTGAATGAGTGCGAGGGCAACCCATGCTCGCAGGAGTGTGCCAACGTGTACGGCTCGTACCAGTGCTACTGCCGTCGCGGATTCCGTCCCAGCGAGAGCAACCCCAGGGCCTGTGAAGGTAACGCGACTACCGCCACCCCTCCCACGAATCGCACTACCTGGGAGACAGGGGCGTAGACTCTACGGCTGTCCAGCGCGTCCCGTCACGCACCCCCCCCCCCCCACCACCGCCGCCTCACCACCCTCCCAACATCTCCCTCGCCAGGTATGGGTTCGATCCCGACCCGGACATCTGCTGCTGTATATTTGGGAGTTTGCGGTGTCTCTCTCCCCGTGGTCGCGTGAATTTGTCTCCAGGTCCCTCCGGTTCCCCCCCTCCGCATTAACAAATCAACATCAACCGTTTAAGAGTCTTTGGCTGCTATAAATTTCCACGTGGCGATAAGCCCCTTGGTTGAGCTATCGCTGCAAGAGGATTAAGGTGCTGCCCTGCAATTGTTGGCTCTCCCCATTGCTGGTGGGTTGTCTCCGGGTTTGGGCGTTGGAGAGGGCGCAGAACGGGGACGAGGGGGAGGGGGTGAAGGGTGGGGGTGACGAGGGGCGGGGGTGGAGGGTGGGGGGTGGGCTCGATCCGTCCCCATCGCCTCTCCCCCCCAATGAGTCCACCACTGACCACCAACCACGTGGTAGCGGCGTCCTGAGCCAGGCGATGTCCGGTGACTTGGGGACACGGAGCCCCGTGGCTCCCGGTGGTGGAAGCGCAGTTCCTCTCCGCTTGTCCCCCCCCCCGCAACCTCTCTCCCCCCCCCCCCTCCTCCCATCCCGTGCAGACATTGACGAGTGCACGCTGTTCTCCGGCGGGAACCTGTGCACCCACCGCTGCCTCAACTCAATCGGCAGCTTCCAATGCACCTGCCCCGAGCCGGGCTATACCGTGGCCAACGGCGGCCGCGGCTGTCAAGGTGAGGACGTGAGACACGGGGGGGGGAGGGGGCGGTGGAGCGGTGTCCGGGGCAAAGGGGCCGTCCATAAATGACGTCACGCACCTGGGGGGGGTCAGACATTTGTGACGATGTGTGACGAGGAGGGGGGGGGGGGAGTGAGAAATGTGACGTCACATGCGCAACTTTAAATAAATATAGCCAACACGTTCTACTTATATTCATATTCTTAGCTCTTTCGGTAAAGTCATGTTGAAGGGAAACAATAAAATATATACAAAACAATAAAAATTCTCACGACGTTTCGACCATAACGCAAACGGTCATCATCAGGTGTGAAAAAACCAACGGCAAGAAACATTTGAAGGAAGTGGCGGTCCGCATTTATTTGTTTATTTTCAAACGATGTTTTTATTTATTTAGATATAAAAACGTTAGCACCACGGGCAGCGAGTTGGCAGTTTGTTTAGAAGGACTAGTCCATCTATGTTCTGAAAAGAGGAGGGGGGAGGCGAAAAATTAATGTATGCTGTCTGAAAGCCACCGTAAGCATGAACAATCAATTAAGACCTGAAATGGTTTATCAAATCCTTCCAATAATTGCTAAGCCAGAATCCATCTTCACGGTTGAAATTGTCTCTGTGCTTGTATATGTGGATAGCCTCATGAACGAATCTCTCATGGTAGCCAGATGGCTTGCAGAGAACCTCTGTCTTGGAGAAGTCAATGTCATGTGAGCCTCCTGAATTATAACAATGATCTGCCACGGCCGAGGTGTTGGTCGTACCGTGTTTAAGGTCTGCTTTGTGTTCACTTAATTAAATAGACTTTTTAATAAATCTTTTCTCCTACAACATCAGAGTGCAGCGCCACATTAAATACACACTACAATGACAATAGCTTAAAGCGATTTGAAGCATGTTTTTTTTTTGGGGGCGGGGGGGGCAGAGGTTTGTGACGTCATATTTGAGGGGGGGGTCTGACTTTTTGTGACGCCGTGTGACGAAGGGGGGCGGGGATAAAAAAATCGTCTAAAATCGCGTGACGTCATTTATGGACGGCCCAATAGGAGACGAGACCTGGGACATGGGACGTTCCCGCGATGATACATGTTGTCCTTCCGCCACACCTCCCCATTAGCGCGGTTGGCCACGTACGGTGCGAAATAAGTCCAACGCACGTACAGACCGATGGGAGTAACCCGATAACAACGATGACCTGGAGTTATTTCTGCACAATGGGCGGCGTCTGCTTCGAAGGAAAACCTCGGGCCGCCCCCCCCTCCCACCCCCCCACCTTGTCGACGGAACAGATGACGACGATGCCCGTCACAAGGTGGCCGTACCTGATGGGCATCCGGGTCAACAATCGTGGCAACTAACGTCGGTTGTGGGGGTGGCGCGTGCACGCCACGTGCGTTGTGTGTCCTCAGCACGGCACCCACCGGCCAGCGACACGACGCGCCCCACCCACGCTCGTTGACCCTGACCAACGTGCCCCCCCCCATCTTGCCCCTCCCCCTCTTTTGCCCCCCCCCCCCGCCGTGACCCTCCGTGGGCGAGCAGACATCGACGAGTGTGCCACGCACAGGCACAACTGCTCGGCCACAGAGACGTGCTTCAACGTGCAGGGCGGATTCCGGTGCCTGTCCTTCCGGTGCCCCCCCAACTACCGCCACATGGGCGAGAGGTGGAGCCCCCCACCCAACCCCCCGCCCCCCCCCCCCCGGCCGCCCCCCCCAGCCCCCCACTCGTGACGTGCGTGCGGTCTCTCTCGCGGCAACTCAACTATAAAACATTTTTTTTACCAGGTGAGGCGGTCTGTCCACAAATGATGGCTCAACGAAGTGGCTTATCACCATCGCTGTGAAAATATATAGCAGCAGCCAAACACACTAAACGCGTGGTGACGTTGATTCTAAGCGTGGACGGAAAAACCGGAGGACCCGGAGAAAAATCCACGCGACCACGGCGAGAGAGAGACACGCAAACTCTACATACACAGCAGCGGGCGTCAGGGGTCGGGATCGAACCCACCACCTCCTGCACACCAGGCGAGGTAGTTAACAGCTCCTAGCCACCGTGATGATAGTGAGAGAGAGACACCGCAAACTCCAAATATACAGCAGCAGCAGCGGGCGTCAGGGGTCGGGGTCGAACCCACGACCTCCTGCACACCAGGCGAGGTAGTTAACAGCTCCTAGCCACCGTGATGATAGTGAGAGACACCGCAAACTCCAAATATACAGCAGCAGCAGCGGGCGTTAGGGGTTGGGGTCGAACCCACGACCTCCTGCACACCAGGCGAGGTAGTTAACATCTCCCAGCCACCGTGATGTTGGGGAGGGGGGGGTGTCGACCGTCGGCCCGATCTACCGTCTTGCCTCGCAGGGCGGACCCCCGCAAGACCGAGTCACTCCGCTGCCTGAAGCTCGACTGTGCCGTGACGGACGGCGCCTGCTGGACCGACCCCGTGAGCGCCATTTCCTTCACCTTCATCTCGCTGCCGGCGTACCCCGACCTGCAGGCACCAGAAGGCACGCTCTCCACGCAGCGCGTTCTCTCTCCCCCTCCCCCCTTGCTCTCCCTCCGTCTCTCTGGCGCGACAAACGGCGACGATTTCCCTCTGCTTGACCGCGCACGCTCGCGGGCGACGTCTCGAGACGCGAACACATTACATCGCCTTTCGTGTGAAACCCTGCGTGACGATGAAATGTGAGTCGGGGAGGGCGAGGGATACACGGGAGAGATGAGAGAGAGAGATTTAACAACGCAGGACAGCTCGGGGCTCGGCAACTTGAGCCGGGCACCAACAACAGCGAAGAGCCCCAAGGGCAGCCGCGGCAGGACCAATGAGTCCCAGGGCGTCCGTGGGGGCGACTGCGACCCGTTCAGCGAGTCCCGGGGGACGCGTGCCGGTCTGTGGGCCTTCAGCCGCGAGTCCTCCCGTCCTCCTCACACTCTCCGGGAAGACTCGCCAAGACGGGGGTCCGACAGCTCTGCCCAATGGGGCGCTCGATGACACCGTGCCACCCTTTAACACACGCCCCCCACCCCCCCACCTTGCCTGCGCCAGGTGTGATTTACCTGCGGGTGGCGTCGCCCGCCATCCCCACGGCGACGGAGCTGGACGTGTCGTTCCGCATCACGGAGGGGAACGAGCTGGGGCTGTTCGACGTCATCAAGACGGAGGAGAACGGCGTCTCGACGGGTGAGTGGCCGCTGTGCCCCCCCCCCTCCCCCGCCACTGCGCGAGCGCTCGCCCCCACCCCAACGAGTCCACGATTGCGCAGCGCGGAGAGGCGCGCGCTTTGGGATTTCGATTAGCACTGTTGGCTGCGTACGGTGCGAAAGAAGTTCAACATACATGCATACACACACAAATGCGACTCTTCACAGACGGTAACATGGTGTCCTTAAACCTCGTGTACAATCGCTCGCCTCTAGCGTACGTTCCCCTTCATAGCGCCCTAAAGAGATGACGACGTTCTGCTGCTGCTGCTGCTGCTGGGGACAGGGAACGCGTGTCCACTGACCCCCGGCGCTCAACGCGGAGAGATCTGCGTCACAGCCAGTTCGGTCTGCCTAGCCATGAATGATCCTGCATCAAAAAAGACTATACGTTTTAAAATAATAATGGTAACTAAAAAAAGGATAACATAGATGAACTCCAAGCTTCCAAGACGGCCATCATCATTTCGACGTGCAGCTAGAAGCGGTCAACAAGTTCAGTGAAACATTTCCCCACGTTTAAAGCTTTAGTTTTGTCCAGTAACACGTACGTATGTTGAACATCTTTCGCACCGTACTCGGCCAACCGTGCTAATCGGCGGTGGGAGGGAAGGACAACAGACTAAACACAACGAGCAGCCTCGAAATAAACGAGTTTTTAACTTGCACGTTGTGCTGCAATGGTCATGTATAGACGTCCAAATATTCGGCCTGGGCGCTGTCCTGCGCCCTTGCGCGTTCCGCGGCACGGGCGCCAGCCGGGATCAGCCGGGATCGGCGTTCGTAAATGCGGTGTCTCTTCTCCTGTAAGGCCGCGTTGTGGAAAAATCGCGTTATAATTAATAATGCATAATACAGGGGTCGGTAAAGCATGGTCCGCGATAATGCGCGAGATGCGTAACGCAGGCCGAACAAAGACCCGAGGCGCCTGGGTTAGCGTCTCAAATTATCCAGCAGCATCCCAGTGCTACATCGAGGCAGACGCACAAACCGCGCTTGTTCCTATTCGCGTGCGGGACGTAGGTCCGTTCATTCAGTCGTGTCATATATCCAATTTGCATCCAGCGCTATATATATAAAAAAAACGTGTTCCCGAATACATGCACCGCGTCATTATCCAACTTTGCGTCATGAGAACGGACCGTAACCCCTCCGTTTCGTTGCTCGGCTCCGGGCTGCAGGCAAGGTGCGGCTCCTGCGCTCAGTGACGGGGCCCGTGTCCACCGTGCTGCGGCTGGAGATGGACTACCAGCGGGGGAGGGCGCTATCGCACCGCAACGTGGTCTACGCGCATGTCTACCTCTCCCCCTACTGGTTCTGAGGTCCCGGGGTGCGACGATCGCCGTCCCCCCCACCGCCCCACCTCCCCCTCGACGATGGTGATGATGATCCGTAATAGAGGTTTTCTTCTGGTTAGATCGTTGTAAATATGAGTGTCGTTAAACCCGCCACCACCCGACACAGGCAATTGGTAAGGTTTGTCACGTAACAAAACGTGCCAATTGGTTACTAGTTCAGCACACCGGTGCGTTGGAGAGTAAACCCACATTTACAATTCGAGTACCACGACGTTTCATGATGATGTCGAACAGAGGAATAGCGATGACGATATTAACCCTTTCCCCTTCTGAGACATCTGCAAGTTTTGTAGGGTGGGCGTCCCGTTTACCGCTGAATCGTAGAGCACGCAAGCGGCTCAGCGTCTATTTTATTTAGAGAGGCGTAGCGCCGTTGTTTTTTTAAAGACATTGTACTCACTGCAGAGAAGTGTAGCAACACAACCGCACTCTATGATAGTTGGCGTCAAACTGTGCCACACGCCCTCCCACGTGGCCTTGTCGGAGCCTCGGTACCGATAAAGTTATTTTATTTTTTTCTTCCGGTTTCGTTTTGATGATGCACATGAACGTCATCGGAACAGAATCAGAAAAGCAAATGACATAAAACTACAATGATTTTAAATTAGACGTTTAAATATACATTCGCTCGTTATGTATGTACGTATGTTGAACTTCTCTCGTACCGCACGTAGCCAACTGTGATAACCAGAGGTGCTCCATGGGGAAGACAACAAACTACAGGAGTCGGCCTCAATGAGACCGGGGATGACACCGATGGTTGGAGTCGTGATATTGGCGGCGGCCTAGCGTGGAGAATATTTGAGGGTGCAAAACATTCATTAGTCAGAGGGATATACGCCCCCGTTGCGCGGAACTGCTCCGCGTATGATAGGCAAGTTTCCTTACCCTCCTCTGTCGAGCCAACAGAATAAACGGGTTCGCCCGCGGTCAGTCGCTCGGCAGGCCGCGCGCCAAACCAAGAAGAGTAGGCCAGTAATACCCCCGTAGAGTCCAGAAGATGCTCCCCTCTGGTTACGAGAGGACCTTCCGTCGGCAGGTGGCGTAAGCGTGCAGTTCCGGGGCTGCGCTTTATCCTTTAACTTTTACCCTCCCATCCCGACGCGCCCCCCTCCGCCACCGACCATACTTGTGCGCCAGCCCGGGACGGGGTGTAAACTGTTACAGCTGGGGCTTGGCCGTAACAATTTCCGCCGCTCAGTTTTCGGCGATGACAGCAGAGGCTGCCGGCCGTGTGTTGACGCGCGGTGAACGGCGAAGTAGTTTTTTTTCTTCCCGCCAAAAAAATATACATAACCGGGGAAGGAAGGAGAAACGCCACGCTCGGAGGGACCCCCCCCCCCCCTTCCCCCCCCTACTTGTGAATATCTCGGGCGCCAAGTGACGACGGCGTTGTTGTTACAGCTCGCTGTGGGCGAGACGACAGCGGATTTCAAAATAATAACGGCCCGGCACGTGAAAACTTCGCCGAATTCCAAAATACGCCGTGCGTCAAAGGGTGCAGAGCGCGTTCATCGCGAGCACATTTTCTGTGATCACGGTTGCCTAAAGGCCCACGAATGCCAACTGCCCAGCAACGGATGGACGGCACTATTAAACCATTTTTTATTTTACCAGTTGAAGCCCACTGAGCTGTTGGCTCTCGTTTTAGAGGCGGCCTGGCCACGCATGATAGCTCACCGTAGCGACTGATATCGTCACATGCGGAAATGTATAGTCATAGCCGAATAGTAACATAATAATCTAAACTCGTGTTTTTGTTAAACGTGGCAGGGGGGTGGGGGAAACCGGAGGTACTAGGAGATAAATCCACGCGACCACCACGGGGAGAGAGAGAACAAGCAGGCTTCAAATATACAACAGGCATCGTCAGGGTCCAGGATCGAACCCACGACCTGCATGCGAGGAGAGCGAGATCACATCTCATTGCGTACGTACGTCGAATTTCCTTTCGCGCCATACGTAGCCACAAGTGCTAATCGGAGGTGCGAGAAAATGTGCCTCCCTCACATATTTGTTGTACCTCCACAGAAAAAAACTTTAAAATTATGTACTCATCCCATCAGCGGACACGGCCTTCTGGAAAGTACATCATAAATTCAGCAGTTCTGGACCGGTTTCGACCGGGCGAAGGCGACAACACGTTCCTTGAATTTAACATGAACTTGGGAAAAGGTAGTCAAGGAGGAGGAGGAGTGTTGTGCCCTGTGGTGCGGTGGTGGATGAGGTGAAACGGTCCGGTAGGCCGAGTTCTCAACACAGCTGGAAGGAATCATTTGAGTGAAGTCCATGGGAACGGTAACCATGGTAGTAGCTATAGCGGAGTGACAAAGGAGCCGAACCATATACTAAAACTATATATCCGTGTAATTCTAACAAAATATAATTTACACTGCAATTAACAATACATATATAAAGCGTATGGTAAGTTATGAACCGTTGTAGCTGCTTGTATGGACCGAGTGTTCACGCGACGCGTTGGGTGGACTTTGCAGTCTCGGGACCTTGTGACACGGGGACCGTCTTCGCCGGGGGTTCTCACTCCAGATTGGAACCATGGTGGGGGGGGGCGGGAGGGGGCATGAACTAACGTAAAGGGGGGCACGCCCACACAACCCCATGAGGGACGTACGTTCGTGCGTTGAACTTCGTTCTCACTGTACGTAGCCAGCCGTGCTATTTGGGAGGTGCAGAAGGGAATGGACAACAAGTGAGAGTCGAGGAGATGGAGCGGCGGGGTCTCAACAGTGCAACCGCCGTGTTTGCGTCTGGCAGGAGGAAGGAAGCGATGGCGATGTGCGGAGACATCCACGGTTATGGCCACACCGACCTCTCTAACTTGAACGCGAATGCCTCCCCCAGCTTTCCTCTGATTTGGGGGGCACCGGAGCGGAGGTGGTGCTGTTAATTTCGGGGGGGGGGGGGGACGGAGCCATGGGTCCTTGTTTTCCACCAGGGACAATGGGTTTTTTTTCCCCCGAGAAGCTGTGTTTTTGGGTAGCGGTGTGTGCGTCCCAGTCAACCCATCATGACATCTGGGTCTGTCCGCGTGACCTCCTGCCACGGAGCCTTCGACGCTTCACGTGGCCTCAACGTGCACCTAGCCTGGCACAAACGCCGCGGCGATGTAAGCGTCACTCGGTGGCGAACCGCGGCTGTTGCTGCACGATCAGAATAGGCCCCGGTGTAAGGGGTGAAACGTGGCCCCCTCGGTGCAATTAACCGCTGCCGCCCCATCCCCGCTCCACCGCCCGCCACCCCAGCGTCTGGACCGCGGCAGCCCCTAAGCGCCCCTGCGCGGTTGCGCCGCCTGCACACTCGAAAAGCTGCGCCGCGGATTTTGGGCAACGGTTGTTGTGCACCGACAGTGCCAACGCTGGGCCCCCGTTGGGCTCCTTGGCCAGTACCGCTTTGCAGAATGTTTCTCCACTTTGTAGACAAACTCAAGACAATCGTGAATGTAGTGTTGTTTATAGAGAGACTCTTAAAAGGTCAGCTAGGCGTACGGCCGTTTGTAAGCATTGTTTTGATTATCTGGCTTTTTTTTTCGAAAGAAGGAAGTGTTGCTTTAAATTTGTTTGTTATTAAGCTTGCTTTTACCCAGGAAAGTGATTCTCAAATGTTTGTTTTTCAAGATAATTCACGTTTTTCACACACGGGGGGGCGATGTTGCTGTTGTAATCCCACTTGAGTAGTTTGTCGGGAATGTTTTTTTTTGTTACATTGGGATGTTTTACCAATACCAGTTAATACTTAACTATTTTAATATTACCAGTTAAGGCCCACTGAGCTATGCAGCTCTGTTTTCAGAAGCGACCTTGCTACGCGTGATATTGTTCCTAAATGTAGAGAGGAAAACCGGAGGACCAGACCACGGGGAGGACATGCTCCAAATATACAGCAGCAGGCGTCAGGGTCAGGATTGAACCCACGACCTCCTGTGTAACAGGCTAGGGAGTTAACATCTCCTAGCCACCGCGGCGCCTCTTACGTTGAGTGTTTTATTAGCTATGGGAAGGAACCAAAACACCGGAGGAAATCCATACAGAACGGAGGGAGAATCAAACCCAGGCCCCTCTTGCTGTGAGTCACAAGTGTTACCGCATCGCCGCCATGCCGCCCAATGTGAGCAGGACCTCTCTTGGAAATACATCTTGAGACTCTTTCCTGGATGAAACAATGGGACTGCTATGAGACGTAACGTACAATGTTTTAGAAATGCATCTTTTAAAAAAAATACCAATATATTTTTGTTGGAAGAAAAATAAGCACTGCTTAAGCATATAACGTATCTTATTTACAAAGAACGCACATATATATAGAAAAATATTAGTTTATATGTATGGACAATTTTAGAAGGAAAAGTGGCATATACATATTAATTACAGCACTACTATTGCACAGCTTTTTGTTGTATGAGCACAGTCCTATTTTAAATTAAATGCAAGGTTGTGCCTTAGCCAATGCTGCTATTACAATACAGTATACACTTTATAAAGCTTAACAAAAAAATGCTGCTAAATAATTGAATAGAGAATAATATTATCGTTGCTATACATTGTCTCGTATATCACGTCACCATTGCCATTGGTAAAACACCACAATAATTACGCATGTAGAACGTCGCAATGTTACCATTGTACATGTAATGTGGCGTCAAATTGAATCCCTTCACAAATAAAATCTTTCACTATTCTGCAACGCTTCGTCAGCGCCAGCTAACCATAAATTGCATTTACAGAATATGTATTTATACTGGATGAATCGAGTGAGCTATAGAGATATTTTTTCACAGATGTCCAGGAAGGTGCAGTTCAGAACGTTACAACAAACAATACGAAAACACGATGGGAGTGCAAAGTATAGGAAAGGTGAAAAAATAACTATGAAAAATGCAAATCAAACTAAATATTTTTTTAAAAATCTTACCAGGTAAAGCCTACTCAGCTATTAGCTTCTTTTTTCAGAAGCGACTTGGCCACAAATTATAGCCCAACGAAGTGGCGGCTAATCATGTGGGCCATTGCCTGAAACGTCTTTTATCTATATATTTAGTTTCCTTCCGACGAACCAGTTTTATTGTTTGTAAATCTCGCCCCATTCTCTGCCAAACACCACGAGACAATCCCCCAACTATATTCTTGGTTCTTTCGGTAAAGTCACGTAGAAGGGAAACAATAAAATAATAAAAATATAATAAAATTATTGTTTCCCTTCTACGTGGTGACTTTACCGAAAGAACCAAGAATATTAATCCCTGCAATCACGAAAGCTTTAAATCAAAATCCGCCAACTGTTCGCGGCCTAGCGTTCTGACCCATACTGGACATCTGTGTAAACAAAAACTTCGTAGCTCATCGTATTTCCTCCGGTCTGCAAAAAAAAACATTAAAAAAATCTTATTCTGGACGCCTTCCGAAAATCCGCGAAAACCACGTGCCTCGCGCAACGCGTCTCCCCACCCCACGTGGTCCGCGAACGTAGTGGGTGGGGGGGGTGCTAGGGATAAGGAGGGAGAGGTGTGTGTAGTTAGCGTCACGTGACTCCCCCCCCCCCCACCGTGGGCGCACGCGCGATGAGTCACGTGGTAACAACAGCGGGGGGCGGTGCGCGTCACGTGACTCCCTCCCCACCGTGGGCGCACGCGCGACGAGTCACGTGGTAACAACGGCGGAGGGGCGGGGCGGGGGACCGGGCCATCATGGCGGCCTCCATGGAGGCCACGGACGTGGCGGCTCTCGCGGCTCGCCTGCGGGACGAGGCCGCCTCGCGCCTTGCGGACGCCGCCGCCATCGCAACCGCCGCCGCCGGCGCGAGGGACCCGGGCGCAGCGGCCGCCGCGTGGAGGCCGCTGCTGGGCACACTCCGGTCTCTGACGGCCGCTTTCGTTCACCCGGCGAACAGGTGCGGGTAACGGCATGGCTGGACTGCGGCCTGGTGCACTGTCATGGACCCCCCCTCCAGCGTGTCTAGCACAGAGCCCCCTCTTACTTGTCTAGCACAGAGCCGCCCCTTACTTGTCTAGCACAGAGCCCCCCCCTTACTTGTCTAGGACAGAGCCCCCCTTAACTTGTCTAGGACAGAGCCCCCACTGACTTGTCTAGCACAGAGCCCCCCCCCCCCCTTACTTGTCTAGCACAGAGCCCCCCTTAACTTGTCTAGCACAGAGCCCCCCTGACTTGTCTAGCACAGAGCCCCCCCTGACTTGTCTAGCACAGAGCCCCCCCTGACTTGTCTAGCACAGAGCCCCCCTGGCTTGTCAACCACAGAGCCCCCCCTGGCTTGTCTAGCACAGAGCCCCCCCCCGACTTGTCTACCACAGAGCCCCCCCTGACTTGTCTACCACAGAGCCCCCCCTGACTTGTTAACCACAGAGCCCCCCCTGACTTGTTAACCACAGAGCCCCCCCCCCCTGACTTGTTAACCACAGAGCCCCCCCTGACTTGTCTAGCACAGAACCCCCCCCTGGCTTGTCAACCACAGAGCCCCCCTAACTTGTCTAGCACAGAGCCCCCCTGGCTTGTCAACCACAGAGCCCCCCCTAACTTGTCTAGCACAGAGCCCCCCCCTGACTTGTCAACCACAGAGCCCCCCTGACTTGTCTACCACAGAGCCCCCCCCTAACTTGTCTAGCACAGAGCCCCCCTAACTTGTCTAACACAGAGCCCCCCCCTGACTTGTCTTCCACAGCCCCCCCTGACTTGTCTACCACAGAGCCCCCCCCCTAACTTGTCTAACACAGAGCCCCCCCTAACTTGTCTGCCACAGAGCCCCCCTGACTTGTCTACCACAGAGCCCCCCCTGACTTGTCTACCACAGAGCCCCCCCCCTGACTTGTCTCGCACCGTAGCCTCCCACCCCCGGCTTGTAATGGTTGAGAGGAGCAGCGCTTCAGAGATTGCATGCGAATAATTTTTTTTTTCTCCGTGATAATGAGAACTGTGCCCCGGTGATGTAGTCGCAGGGAGCTCACACGTGGTGGCGCTGTGAAGCCGTCAACGTTACGAGGAGCAACAAAGTCAACTGCTGACTGCCCATTAGGGCTGAACGATTTGGGGAAAATATCCAGTTGCGATTTTTCTGACAAGATATTGCGATTTGATTTGCGATTACATTTTTTTAAAAGTCAAGCTTCAGTTCAATATGCACTGTGTAATAGATTTAAAACATGTGATGGAGCATTACCACGTGATACCATCAAAATATGAACTTCTCTATGTATTCTAATGCAAGGATGATAACTTGATATGAATTGCTTCCAACATGTATTTATTGAAATGTTTTAAGTTATATCGAACAATCAAACATAGAACAATTGTTAAGTTAAAGCAAGTTATAATAATGAAAATATAACAATTCCCATAAGAAAGTAATAGGACTTTTCAAATTGCAAATAATCGCAGCCTTTGCGATTTGCTAATCGCATTGTTTCAAATTGCGATTTCGATTTGAAATAGATTAATCGTTCAGCCCTATTAGGTAGCAACAAAGTCAACTGCTGACTGCCCATCAACTACGCTGCATGGCGCCACCAAAGCAGTTCACCAGTGGACAGCCAATGCTGTTGAATGACTAACATTTTCCTAGACGTCCAATTTTAACATCGCTGTTCCAAAAGTCGGTTGCTCATGCCTACAACGTGCCACGCGAAATAAGAAAGAACGCGGGCTTAGATATGACACCTGTTAAGCCACATTGTAGAAGCCACGTTGATGCTGTGTTATAAGGAGAAGTCTTGGTCTTAAATGCTCGACTGGTTCTTTTAAGCCTGCAAGTGTAGGTTCTGATTTAAAGCTTTCGTGACTGCAGGGATTCATATGCATGGTACTTTCGGTTAAGTCACGTAGAAGGGAAACAATACAATTATAAAAATGTAAAACAATAAAATTCTCACGACGGTTTCGACTGCAACACAAGAAATCATCATCAGGTGTGAAAACCACAGCAAGAAAATTTGAAAAAAGTGGCGTTTTTTTAGCGTTAGCACCACGGAGAGCGATTTGACAGTTTGTTCAGATGGACGAGTCCATCTATGTTCGGAAAAGAGGAGGGGGGAGACGAAAATAATGGATGCGGTCTGAAAGCCACCGTAAGTGTGAACAATCAATTAAGACCCGAAATGGTTTATCAAATCCTTCCAATGATTGCTAAGCCAGAATCCATCTTCTCGGTTGAAATTGTCTCTGTGTTTGTATATGTGGATAGCCTCTTGAACGAATCTCTCATGGTAGCCAGATGGCTTGCAGAGAACCTCTGTCTTGGAGAAGTCAATGTCATGTGAGCCTACTGAATTATAACAGTGATCTGCCACGGCCGAGGTGTTGGTCCTACCGTGTTTTAGGTCTGCTTTGTGTTCACGGATGCCGTCCGAGACATGTCGTTTGGTTTCTCCAATGTAACTACTACCACTGAGGCAACTTAGTTTGTAGACTCCAGGGTACCCTATGTCCGGAATCACATATTTTACAGACGGAACCAGATCACGGATTTTATGTAATGTGTTGAATCGGACCTGGATCTTGTGTTTATTCAAGATTTTGGAGGTTTTTTTTGTGATCCCCGCAATGTAGGGTAAAGTGATGGTTTTGAATGGCTCCTCAATAGGGTCCTTCTTCATTGTTGGAGTGATAGCTTTGCGGATTGTGTAGTCGGAGTAACCATTAGCCTTAAGAGCTTGGTGTACGTGCTTGAGTTCACTGTTTGTGTGTTCCTGGTCGGATATGCATTGGGCTCTATGGTGCAGAGTCTTGATGAGGGAATTCTTCTGGGATGGATGGTGGTGGGAATCTGGTTTTAGGTAAGCATCCGTATGGGTAGCTTTCCTGTAGACAGAGTGGCTCATTGAACCATCAGGTCTCTTTTTTATTAGGACATCCAAAAAAGGTAGCTTGCCATGGAAGTCGAAAAAGATGGCAAGCTTGCCATCAGAAGAATTCCCTCATCAAGACTCTGCACCATAGAGCCCAATGCATATCTGACCAGGAACACATAGCCAGTGAACTCAAGCACGTACACCAAGCTCTTAAGGCTAATGGTTACTCCGACTACACAATCCGCAAAGCTATCACTCCAACCATGAAGAAGGACCCTCTTTGAGGAGCCATTCAAAACCATCACTTTACCCTACATTGCGGGGATCACAAAAAAGATCTCCAAAATCTTGAATAAACACAAGATCCAGGTCCGATTCAACACATTACATAAAATCCGTGATCTGGTTCCATCTGTAAAAGATGTGATTCCGGACATACAGTACCCTGGTGTCTACAAACTAAGTTACCTCTGTGGTAGTAGTTACATTGGAGAAACCAAACGACATGTTTCGGACCGCATCCGTGAACACAAAGCAGACCTAAAACACGGTAGGACCAACACCTCGTCCGTGGCAGATCACTGTTATAATTCAGTAGGCTCACATGACATTGACTTCTCCAAGACAGAGGTTCTCTGCAAGCCATCTGGCTACCATGAGAGATTCGTTCATGAGGCTATCCACATATACAAACACAGAGACAATTTCAACTGAGAAGATGGATTCTGGCTTAGCAATCATTGGAAGGATGTGATAAACCATTTCGGGTCTTAATTGATTGTTCACACTTACGGTGGCTTTCAGATCGCATCCATTATTTTCGTCTCCCCCCTCCTCTTTTCCGAACATAGATGGACTCGTCCACCTGAATAACTGCCAAATCGCTCTCCGTGGTGCTAATGTTCAAAATAACCGCCACTTTTATCAAATGTTGTTGCTATGGTTTTCACACCTGATGATGATTGCTTGTGTTGCAGTCGAAACGTCGTGATCATTTTATTTTATATTTTTATTCTTTTATTGTTTCCCTTCTACGTGGTGACTTTACCGAAAGAACCAAGAATATAAGTGTAGGTTTGTTTCTAGTTTTGTTTGTCGTTCAGATTTGTGCTTTGGTTGCTTTGTTTTAACCTGTTAGATCTTTTAAACCAAACTCGTGATTTTAACCCAAGTACATCCTTGCGAATGAGACCATGTTTCATGTATTAACGGGTTGTTTCCATCTCCTGGTGAAATACAAGTTCCACTACGTATATCACATTGAGGAATAACCCTTACATTCAAACACTGTGTACTTGATACGAATTCCGCGCCATCCCTAAGATGCTTGTTCCATGGCGAGATCGCTGTCATTGACATGGCGCTTCTGGTGGCGACGTAACGATGGCAGCAGGTGAAGTGTAATTTATTGTGATCAGGTGTAAGCTGTCTTGAAAGCAGCACTTGTCTGGTTTGAGAACGATGCACATTTGACATTTAATCCCACCCTTAAAAAAAACCCATCCGAACGCCAAAAATCTCCTCCTAAAAGGCCACGGTATCGGCCAGTGTACACTCACCCCCTCGGGGTTTTATCCTATTTCATTTCAGCACCTCGTGCGTTCCCCCGACTTTTGGGTACCTCGGCTGTTTTGGAATGTGGCTTGAGTGGCCCTTGCGGCTTAAACGGTTGGCGCTTCCTCTTGTCCCATTGGTCATTAGGCACCTTTTAGTCTTTCAGCTCCGGCCAGTTAACGTTCCGCAGGTGAGGGCGACATGCACCCGCCCCGCGCCCCGAACTCTGCTGCGGTCTAGCGTTTCACTCGGGAGACGGGCTGCCGCTTTCGTTGTGAGGAATTCAAAACAAGCCTTCCCGTGTCCACGTTTAACCCTTTAACCTTTTGTTTTTCCTCAACGCGAGCGCGCACACACCACACATTCACCGTTCGGACATTCTCCATCGGTCGTCGTGTCATTCGTCCGGAAAAAAGGCCATTGCCGAGTCTCGAGGCTCTCCTTAAGGAGCGTCTCGGTAAGATTGCGACGGTTTGCACGTTCGAGGAAATCGGGAGCGTTTGGGGGGAAAAAAATTGCACGCATGTGAAATGACCACCGCTCGCATCTCTTCATGTGCACGTTTCATGAGCAATGGGAAACCGGTGGATTCGGTGAAACCTATCTAACTAGATATTTATTTATATTTTACCAGGTAAGGCCCACTGAGCTATATAGCTCGTTTTCAGAAACGACCTGGCCACACATCATAGCTCAAAGAAGTGGCTTATCAATGTGGAAATTTATAATCGCTAAATACTCGAAACGCATGTTTCTAAATGTGGAGGGAAAAACCGGAGGACCTGAAGAGAAATTCACGCAACCACACGGAGAGAAAGAAACATACAAACTCCAAATATACAGGCTGTCAAAGGTCGGGATCGAACCCGCGACCTCCTGTATACCTGGCGAGGCAGTTAACATCTCCTAGCCACCGCGGCACCAAAACGACGCATGCGTCAGAATAACTGTTACAAGGTCCGTACAGTTAGGTTCACGAACCGACTTGCTGTATTGCCCGGCTCCTGGCCACGTCGCAAGCCCAGGCGGGTTTGGGAGTTTCACAAATCTCCACGATCCACTTGCCTCCAAAAGTGCTGGACTATGGACAAGGCGTGCACCACCACGATCTTTCCTCGGCGTTCACCACCACGATCTTTCCTCGGCGTTCACCACCACGATCTTTCCTCGACGTTCACCACCACGATCTTTCCACGGCGTTCACATCCGTAATTACCCTTACTATAACGACGTCATTTCAATCCATCATCCAACTGGGCGGTGAATAAATTGAGCAACAATTTATACGTGAAGTTAACTGCGGGTTTTTTTTTTAACGGAGAGTCTGTTGCCAGTGATAGGAATGTGCAATTTCCACCACTGCTTCAGGGCTTTCCGGCAGAGTTGAGTGACGCACAATGCTCGTTTGAGAAGGGAGATACTTTGTCTCTATGTTGGGTAATACTAGTTCACTGGAGATAATTTGTTTTGGGCATCTCATAAGAAGAAGCGTTAATAACTGATAAGAAGAATCGCCTCGCTAGGGAAGTGCGATTGGAAGAGGCGTATACGAACGCGATCGGCAAGATACGATGATGGTGTCGGGTGAAAAGTGTAATTCATATAATGACAATTAGAAGTACCAGTGCATGTACTTGTGGAACAGTTTAGTCGATCTACTGCTGGATGAGGGCCTCCCCGCGCCGTGAGGGTTGTGGCGTTTATTTGATTGTTTCGATTATTGTTTGTCATGCCGGTCAGCGTGGATTGGTGACGGCCGGGGATCGAGGGTGTAGACGCGGTGGCATGGGCACGGTTTGGCTACGTACGGTGCGAAAGAAGTTCAACACACCCATACAGAATTAAAAAAACACACACACAAAGCTGTGCAGCGCAAGACCAAGTAGAGCACAGGACCTAAGTCATTTGAATGTGTCTCATTGGAGATGCCACAGTCTCACAATGGGATTTGCCGAATGAAGGAATGCACTTCACCACTCCAGTTAAATACCAGGGCGTTTTTCCTTCTCGAATGTAAGATGGATTCATCATCATCATCAAATATTTATTAAAACCAGGTGGAGCCCAGTGTGAACAAAAGTATTTTTTCAATGGAAACCTGGCTCCGTAACGTTACACTACGCTTATAAACAAAATTCACAACAATGAACAATATTCATCAGTCGACACGGTTTAACAGCAATAAACAATACAGCAGTGTAACGTTTAAAAGCGTAATTCATTTCCAGTACGGTAATGGACATTTTAGCTTGGGCACACACGGTACAGTACAAAAAGCACGCGCATTCGTAGTAACCAAGGAACAATTGCTCGATAAAAGTTGACTGCAAAGCAATGGAGGAGTTATTAAATTTGTTAAGAAGGACGTAAATGCGTTTTTTTTCATCTACGAACAGAATTACATCAAAACATTTTCAAATGATTGTATTCGCTCTTGGGATGGTACACGCATTTTGAAGGCTTGTGTGAATTTGCTGCTTGTAAGCAAAATCGCACCTGGAATGCACCCTAGCTCGTCGGGTCCTCAGAAGCCAAGCAGGTTCGAGCCTGGATAGTGCTTGGATGGGCGACACCATGCACACGACGAGTTGTCAAAGGGCTATGTGGCCCAAGTGATGTTCAAGCAGAGGGTCATTTTTTTAACCATTTTGTAAGAGGGATGTACGTGGTTTTTTTTTCATCTGTTGGAAAATGACGTCAACACATGCTCAAATGATTATATTTATTCTTGGGACAGTACAAGTATTTTGAGACGAATATTAAAAATGTTGACTCTCTCGCCTGGTATGCTGGAGGTCGTGGGTTTCGATCACGACCTTGATGCCTGCTGCTGTATATTTGGAGTTTGCGTGTTCTTCCTGTGGTCCCGTGGATTTTTCTCCGAGTCTTCCGGTTTTTCCCTCCACATTTAGGGTTGACATATGTTTAGAGTTTTTGCCTGCTTCAAATGTCCACGTGATAAGCCACTCTGTTGAGCTATCATTTGTGGCCAGGTCGCTTCTGAAAAAGAGCTATATGGCTCGGTGGGCCTTAACTTTGTAAAATAAGAATAGTTTAGTTTGTATGTCTGCGCTCCCGCATCCTTGCTTTACGCCTTCACAAACTCGCATTAACCAGAATGGCGAAGTATGGTCAAATAACCCCCACGACACTCACGATATGGGTTGGCCCTCATTCAGCAGCGGAAAGTCAAAACAGACTGGACACGTACACATTGCGCGTGGGCTACCGGACGAAACTTGCCAGCGCGTACGCAGCGGACGGAATAAACGATCTCGGTTATTGAATCGAATCGTGAAAATCGAACCGTGAAAGGTTCATCTTAACCCTGAACTGCAAGCGAGTCCAATGTTTGAGGTGTTGTATGTATGTTGTATATATGTAAGTTTAACTTCACCATATGCAGCAAACCGTGGTACTCGGAGGTGCGGGGGGAAGGACAACAAACTAAACACGAAATGCAGTCTTCAAGAAATGAGTTCTCAATCTTGATTTAAAAGTGAATAGCTCGAGTTTCTTCCTAACATCGGAAGGAAGAACGTGCCAGCCGGCTGCAGATCGTCTTTGTTTGATGGCCAGCCAAAAGCCGCTGCCGGGATCGCCACTGACAATAAGTGCGTAGATTGATGGGGATTACATGCGAAATCAAAAAAATCGTACAGACGGACAGACTCGGTGGTGGCTACACACAGAGTTGGTCCGGGGCTCCACCGATCCATCCTGTGCTGGCCCCCCTCCGCCACCCGTTGTTGTGGAACGGGGCGGGGTGGGTGGGGGGGGGGCGACAGCGGGCGCGGGCAGACAGCGGGGACATGGGTGAAGGGACGCGCATCGAGCCGCGTCGGCGCTGTTCTACCGCGTCGGCGCGGAGATCGCTCGGCGTGCCCGCGTCCACGCCGCCGCGCCCGTCTTCAGACCGCTGGCGCTGTCTGTCAGTCGGAAGCCGGTGTCTGTTGCGCGAGCACTTGCCGTGCGACGTGCCCCTGACACTGTTTACGCCTCGCGGCCGGGGGCGGCGTTAACACTCGAACGTGACGGCGCCCAACGAGACGTGGAAGCGAAAACTCGTGGGGGGTGGGGTGGTAGGTCGGGGGGAGGGGTGGGGGCAAGCCGGGGGTGGGGGGGCAGTCTGGGGATGGGGACCGTGAAGGGACACCGCCTCCGGCGCTCGGCGCGCAAAAGCCGCGAATGCGGAGGTCGAGAGGTCATCCCGGCCGTCGCCGTTGATGCCTCCGCACCTCGCCGTCGCTTCCCTGTGATGGATCCCCGACCTGCAACCAAGTTGGCTTGGACTCGACAGGTAGAGGTGGCAGACCCGTAGCTACCTTCTCGCGCCAGTGATGGTGAATTGTCCTCCACTAGAGGGGGCTCTGGATGGCCACAATAGAGGGGAATTCTAGTGTCAAGTCTTGCACGCCGCTCAGAATTCTTGGAAGAAGACAGAGGTGGGAGTAGCCACACTTTACCCCACCACTTGGGTCCTGCCAATCGACTAACTGTGCTGTACCCATTCAGACCGCTTCGTATGAATGGATCGCCAGTCCAGTGCGTGGGTGACCGTTGCAACCACGGCGGCATTCCTCGCATGCTATTCCTGTCAAATTGTATCGGAAACGAGTGGATTGGTTGATCGTCGAACGAAGAAGGTCACCGCCATCGCGAAGCTTTCAGATGCCCTCCCGCGGCTGTCTGGAACGCTCTTCCTGCCTCCGGAAGCCACTGCGAGCTGTGCACTTTTAAATAATCTCGACTGAAAACTCATTTCTTCAGGACTCCTTTTTTGTGTTCAGTTTGTTGTCTTTCTCCCCGCGCCTTCGGTAAGCGCGGTTGGCTACGTACAGTGCGAAAGAAGTTCAACATACGTACGCGGGGAGCGTGCCGCCACCCCGGCTCGCTCTGCTTGTTCACCGACCCCTCGCCCTGTCTCTCTCCCCCTCTCTCCGCCACCGCTGGCGTGCGACGGCGAAGGGAAGCGGCGGAGCCGGCGCTGTTCGACTGCCTTGGTCAGCTGCTGGGGGCCGTGACGGCGCCCGTCCGAGCGGGCGGCGCCGGCGCGGGGTCCGACCGGCCGGAGCTCGAGGTGGCCGGCGAGTGCTTCCGCTGCCTCCGCAACGCGTGCGTGCAGTGCCCCGCCAACCAGCGCCGTGTCCGGTGAGCCCTCGCCCGGCACCGTGCGGCGCGCCCGGCGGGTGCCGCCGTGGCCGGTGCTGCCGGGTTGTCGCGGCCGTTGTCCGTGATGGTGTGTGTCTTTGTGCGTGTCTGTGATGGTGTGTGTCTGTCTTTGTGTCTGTGATGATGTGTGTCTTTGTGTGTCTGTCTTTGTGTCTCAAGGTGCACATGGCCTGGCACAAGCGTCGTGGTGACGTCACCGCCATTTCGAGGCGAATGGCGGTTGTTGTTGTTGTTGTCTTTGTGTGTATCTTTGTGTTGGTGATGCGGTGTGTCTTTTTTTGTGTCTGTGTGTGGGTCTGTCTTTGTGTGTGGGTCTGTCTTTGTGTGTGTGTCTGTGTGTGTGTGTCGGTCTTTGTGCGCGTCTTTGTTTTTGTGTCTGTGATAGTGTGTGTTTTTGTCTTTGTGTCTACAGTGAGGGAAAAAAGTATTTCATCCCCTGCTGATTTTGTACGTTTGCCCACTGACAAAGAAATGATCAGTCTACAGTTTTAATGGTAGGCTTATTTGAACAGTGAGAGACAGAATAACAACAAAAAATTCCAGAAAAATGCATGTCAAAAATGTTATACATTTATTTGCATTTTAATGAGGGAAATGAGTATTTGACCCCCTCTCAATCAGAAAGATTTCTGGCTCCCAGGTGTCTTTTATACAGGTAACGAGCTGAGATTAGGAGCACACTCTTAAAGGAAGTGATCCTAATCTCAGCTTGTTACCTGTATAAAAGACACCTGTCCACAGAAGCAATCAATCAATCAGATTCCAAACTCTCCACCATGGCCAAGACCAAAGAGCTCTCCAAGGATATCAGGGACAAAATTGTAGACCGACACAAGGCTGGAATGGGCTACAAGACCATTGCCAAGCAGCTTGGTGAGAAGGTGACAACAGTTGGTGCGATTATTCGGAAATGGAAGAAACACAAAAGAACTGTCAATCTCCCTCGGCCTGAGGCTCCATGCAAGATCTCACCTCGTGGAGTTGCAATGATCATGAGAACGGTGAGGAATCAGCCCAGAACTACACGGGAGGATCTTGTCAATGATCTCAAGTCAGCTGGGACCATAGTCACCAAGAAAACAATTGATAACACACTACGCCGTGAAGGACTGAAATCCTGCAGCGCCCGCAAGGTCCCCCTGCTCAAGAAAGCACATATACATGCCTGTCTGAAGTTTTCCAATGAACATCTGAATGATTCAGAGTACAACTGGGTGAAAGTGTTGTGGTCAGATGAGACCAAAATGGAGCTCTTTGGCATCAACTCAACTCGCTGTGTTTGGAGGAGGAGGAATGCTGCCTATGAGCCCAAGAACACCATCCCCACCGTCAAACATGGAGGTGGAAACATTATGATTTGGGGGTGTTTTTTTTGCTAAGGGGACAGGACAACTTCACCGCATCAAAGGGACGATGGACGGGGCCATGTACCATCAAATCTTGGGTGAGAACCTCCTTCCCTCAGCCAGAGCATTGAAAATGGGTCGTGGATGGGTATTCCAGCATGACAATGACCCAAAACACACGGCCAATGCAACAAAGGAGTGGCTCAAGAAGAAGCACATTAAGGTCCTGGAGTGGCCTAGCCAGTCTCCAGACCTTAATCCCATAGAAAATCTGTGGAGGGAGCTGAAGGTTCGAGTTGCCAAACGTCAGCCTCGAAACCTTAATGACTTGGAGAAGATCTGCAAAGAGGAGTGGGACAAAATCCCTCCTGAGATGTGTGCAAACCTGGTGGCCAACTACAAGAAACGTCTGACCTCTGTGATTGCCAACAAGGGTTTTGCCACCAAGTACTAATTCATGTTTTACAGAGGGGTCAAATACTTATTTCCCTCATTAAAATGCAAATGAATTTATAACATTTTTGACATGCGTCAAATAAACCTACCATTAAAATTACAGACTGATCATTTTTTTGTCAGTGGACAAACGTACAAAATCAGCAGGGGATCAGATACTTTTTTCCCTCACTGTATGTGTGTGTGCCACTAAGAGGTGGGGCCTTACCATCAGCCCCACCAAAACTAAGCACCTGCCTGGGTATTTTGTACCATCGGACACTCCACCCCCACAACTCCCAATCGGTGATGGTGCAGTTGTGGAGAGAGTGGAGAGTTTCCCATACCTGGGCAGTGTGCTTATGACTGGCTCCAGTTTAACAGCTGAGGTCTCACTCCGAATCAGTCGAGCGGCAATATCTTTTCATCGGTTGCGTAACGCTGTGTGGAAGCTACCTGGTCTGTCGCTCCGCACTAAGCTTCAGGTCTTCTCGGCCACGGTCATTCCCTCCCTTCTCTACGCTTGCGAAACGTGCACCCCCCTAATGGAACATCTTCTCCGGTTAGAAACATTTAGGCTGGCCTGCCTACGATCCATCCTGGGTTTAACCAGACTGGATTGTGTGAGGAGCTCACAAATCCTTGAAAGATCTGGGCAGGGTCCCATCGGTGAGCTCCTCCGGCAGGCAAGGCTGCGATGGCTGGGTCATGTAGCCCGCATGCCCAGCCACCGCATGCCGAAACAGCTTTTGTTTGGCCGGATTGAGGGGGCTAAGCGGGCGCGGCACGGGCTAGAGAAGAGATGGAGTGATGTGGTACAGGAGGACGTGGAGCTGAGTGGACTTGCCGATGACTGGTACCAGCGGTGTCAAGATCGGCCTCTGTGGAGGAGGCTCGTGAAGGATGCTACTGGGCAGTTGGAGGCAGTCGCCCTCCAACAACAACGGAGGGCGGAGGAGCGACGCTCAGAACAACGAGCGGAGCGCCGGGTGGCTAAAGCACAGCAGGTTGGCACAGTAGGGGGCACAGGTGGTGCATCAGCCAGTCATCTCAGTCAGTCGACCCGTGGCACCTGGGTCTGCCCAGTGACCTCCTGCCAGCGGGCGTTCGACACTTCACGTGGCCTCACGGTGCACATAGCCTGGCACAAGCGTCGTGGTGACGTCACCGCCACTTAGTGGCGAATGGCGGTTGAAGTTGTTGTTGTTGTCTTTGTGTGTGTGTGAGCCTGTCTTTGTGTACCTTTGTGTGTCTGTGAAAGCGTGTTTTTGTCTTTGTGTCTATGTGTTTGTGTCCGTCTTTATCTTTTGTGGAGCGGTAATGTGTTGGTTAGCATGCTGCGCTCCGAACCCGGTAACCCGACTTCGATTCCCGCTCATGGCCAACACCGGTGACGATTATCTAAACCTGTTGTGGACTTCTCCTAGGTCGACTCGGCCTCAAATGGGTACCTGGTGTGATGTGTAAACATCACCATTGGGGAGACAAAGGCGGCCGGCCGTGGTGCTGGCCACCCACCCCCTCGTGTGCCGTGCCGGCCTTCATAAGTACTTGCCAACAGCACTTGTACTAACAGCATGTTTAGGCTACACGGGGGATCTTTGTCTTTGTTGTTTATGTGTAGGTGCCGTGGTGTGTGTGTCTTATGTGCCCTGTGTGTGTGTGTGTGTGATATGCTCTGTGTGTGCGTGTGATGTGCTCCGTGCGTGCGTGGTGTACATGCTGTTAGGCCGGCATGTGCTTACCACCCTGTCTTGTGTTGCGCAGGGAGGCCGGGCTGATCACCGCTGTGGCACAGCTGCTGCTTGCGTTTCCACCGCCTCCGTCCGCCCCGGATGAGCCGTACTTCACCGGTGGGCGAGCGAGCGGTCGTGTTCGCGACACCAACGCATTTGAAACATCTCGCGGGTTCCCATTTGCTACGTCGGCGTATATCGCGTGCACGCTCATGGTCGGTGTTTTTTTGTCTGTCGTTTCCTTCCCGTCCTGCCGTCGCGACAGCGGCGCGCTGCTGCCTGCAGGTGCTCGGCAACGTCGCGGCCGGGAACACGGACACGCGGGAGGCGGTGTGGGCCGCCACCTACCCCCAGCTCTACCTGTACGTGACGTTGTCGTCCCGGTCCCCGCGGTCGCGGTTCGTAGGTTCGCTGTCGTCGCAGGACGCAGCCCGGCTCCGGCGTCGGCCTGAGCGGTCAAACCGACGGGGAGCCGGCGTCGCCCGTTGTTTCGCAACAGCGTCTCGGGGCAGGATGGGCCTCGTCAGCAGTCAACGAAGCGTGTATTTTTTTTTAGTCGGTGACCAGGTGTTGACCCGCAGCCACGCCGGCCCCGCACAATGCGCATACGTTGAGATTATTTCGCACCGTACGTGGCCAACCTGTGCGAATCGGAGGTGCGGCTCCACCGAGCTGGCACTGGACAAGGTGACTGCGGGGGCCACCGGGGCCGGATGGGGACCAGATGGAACCAGATGGGGCATCTGGGATCGCCGGAGCTGCGTGAGGACAGGTGCAGACTGTGACGCGTGTTGTGGAATTGGAGGAGGAGGGATGGTTGTTTTACTGGGTGGACCAGGTGGAGGACCGATAGCGCTGACCAGTTGCAGACAATTTCGCTGTGCCCCGGCTCGGGCCAAGTACGCATAGGCCCCAAGCAGGAGTGAGATCGTGCTCCGTCGCACACGCAGAGCGAGAGTACCGCGCGAGCGAACGATCGTCGATCGCGACACGCATTCAGTGGCACGAGCGGTCAAGTTTCCGCCCGTGCTGCACGCTTAACCCTTTGACCTTCGCCTCTGACCGTCGCAGGAAGTTCCTGCAGTGTGGCGACGCGAAGACGCTGGACTACAGCTGCATGGCGCTGCACACGTGCGCGGGCCCCTCCCAGGTGGCGCGCCTAGCGTGCGACCCCCCGGGGGTGCTCATCGCTCGCGCGCTGCTCGCGCTGTGCTCCCGCCCGCACCTGGAGTGGCCGTGAGTGTCTCCGCGTACCCGTGGCCCCACCCCCACCCACCCCCCCCCCCCCCCCCCCCCCCCCCCCCCCCCCCCCCCCCGCGGAGGTTACCGTTGCTGCACGGCGACACGTTGCGCGTGCGTTTTGGCTCGAAACGTTTTTTTTTTGTTGGCTTGAAACGTTTTGGTTGGGCGGTCGGGGACGTGACGAGGTGGCCTTGGGTAGGTACCGATGCGTGTCCCGGTGTGGGCCGCCCGAAGCCGAAGGAGGCGCGACGACGTCCGTTAGACGCGACGAGGCTTTGGGCAGAAAAGCTCCGCTAGGGCGGGGGGGGGTGGGTGGGGTTGGGTCGAAACGGCCCTGTGAGTCCCCCGCCCTCAGGGTTGGAGAGCTCGCGAGAAAGGTTCAGTGTGCTCCGCTGGCACATGTAATCACTCGTCAGTTGGCCAGTGAACGCCTTCATATGTAGAGGAGCGCGGAGCTCGGGCAATTGTTGACGCCCGCTCACCTCGTGGCTGCCTTCCCGTTTGCCTGTTGTCCCTCGTGCTCCCGAGTCGTTCTCTCTTTTTCGAGCGTGTTTGGCTAAGTTCTGTGCGATAGAAGTTCTACATACACAACACACGAGGGCGAATGCCGTGCTCCGTGTCGCCCCGGTAGCATCTTGGTTGTTCCTTGTAGCTCCTATCCTGTTTGCCTCGCGGGCCTCTGTGTCCAGTGGTGAACCTGGGTGAGTACGATGCAAGAATGCTCGTGACGGATCGTCCAATATAATCACAAATTACGGCCCTTTTATATATATATATTTTTCATATGTGCACATGTATTCGTATGTGCAGTTCAGGATGCTTACGGATTATAAGTCGGTGCAAGTGTACAAAAGCTTGCGTTTTTTTGCGGTCTGGCGTTTGCAGGCTGCTGATGGTGACGGAGCGCTTCCTCAAGTCCTCGACTCTTCTGGCACAGCTGTACGAACACCTGGACCTCAAGCTGAGGTGACGGCGCCGTCAAGTTGAACGGACGTCACCGCGGTCTCTCTCTCTCTCTCTCGCTCTCTCTCGAGTTCCTCGCCCGGAATAAACCCACCGGAGGCCACCCGAGCCGTGACCCCGCGTCGCCGCGCTCGTGTTCCCAGGCTGACGCTGCTGGACCTGCTCCTCGCGAGTCTGGCCGAGGAGTCCCCGTCGGCTTTTGCGGAGGCGACGACCCCCGCGCCGGCGCCGTTCCTCATGCGGCTGGCCGACGAGCTGCGCACGACGGGGCCGGCGGTGCTGAGACTGGCGTCGCTCTGCGCCGAGGCCGCCGCTGGCGACGAGGCGAGTTGGGAGGTCGTCTCGTCGGGTCTTCGTCTTCGCCAGCGTTATTGAGCGCAGGCCAAACGGCACAAACCTCCCACCCCCCCCCCCCACGCATCCAGCAGCTAAACATCGCGATAAGCAGGCACGCCGGATAGATGAGAGGCGTGGCGTAGCACGTGGAGTGTGCAGGCGGTGCAGCTTCAGCCGCCGCTCACGTGGCCAGAGTAGCGGCTCTTGCCTGGCTGTCAAAAAAAGAGACGGTCGCGCCCCACATTGCGCGCTTTCAGATGCGCCGTTGCGGCCGTCTGGAACGCCCTTGCGCCTTCCAATATTAGGAAGCCACTGCTGCTGTGCACTTTTAAATCGTCTAGGTCGAAAACTCATTTCCTTAGAACTGCTTTTTGTGTTTAGTTTGTTGTCCTTCCTCCACGCCTCCGATGAGCGCGGTTGGCTACGTACGGTGCGAAAGAAGTTCAACGCACGTACAGACAAATGGGAGTACCCGATAATAACGATGACCGGAAGTTATTTTTGCACAAGGGGAACGGTGTGCTTAGAAGGACAACCTCGCCCCCCCTTGTCGACGGAATGGATGACGATGATGCCCGTAACAGGGTCGCCGTACCTGATGGGCATCTGGATCAACAATCATGGCAACTTACGTCGGTTGTAGGGGCGGCGCGTGGGCGGGGGGGGTGAGTCCGAGTGCGTGCGACGGTGTCCCGCGTGCGACGGTTTCTCCGTGCGACGGTTCCCGCGTGCGACGGTTTCCCCGTGCGACGGTTTCCCCGTGCGATGGTTTCCCCGTGCGATGGTTTCCCCGTGCGACGGTTTCCCCGTGCGACGGTTTCCCCGTGCGATGGTTTCCCCGTGCGCGCGGCCGCCGCTGTCGTCATCGCCGTCGTCTTCTCTCCGGCAGGAGGCCCTGCTCGTGGCGAGGACGCTGTCCGTGCTGTGCGAGGCGACCTCCGAAGCGCGCGGAGACTCGTGCCTGCGCGACCACCCCACCCTGCTCGCCGCGGCCGTCGGTGAGTTTGCTGCTGATTCTAAGCGTGGAGGGAAAAACCGGAAGGCGCGGAGAAATATTCACGTGACCACGGGGAGAAAGAGAGACGCGAACGCACAGCAGGCGTCAGGGTTGGGATCGAACCCACGACCTCCATACTAGGCGAGGGAGTTAACATCTCGCTACCGCAGCACCACACTCCACAGTGGTCGTCCACTCAGATGCTTTCTCACCTGTGGGCTGCCTTTTCATCACCGGTTCATTGGCCATCGTCCAGAGCTTCGTGGGATTCTGGCAGGTCATGTTGGGGGGGGGGGTGGGGGGGGGGGGCATGGTTTAGGCCTGCCGCTCATGGGGGTTGTCTTTCCATACTTCACCCGTGCTGGTCGGTGCGAGTTTGTGAAGAGAGAGAATTCTTTTGTCTCCCCCTTGCACCGACTTCATCTGATTGGTGTGGGTACCCCTATCCTGCGATAGCTACTCGAGTCTTCAGGGCTCTCACGTTTCTTCACCACATCAAAGCAGGGCTCCATTGAAGAAGCGACGTGTTTAGATGCTGTATAAATCTCAATTGCGTTTTGAGTTGTGCGTTTGGCTACAGTGCCACCCGTTTGTGTGTGTGTGTGTGCGTGCATTCGTGCGTGCTAACTTGTGCTTGTAGTGTTTAGAACTTAGGTCCCCGTCATCACAGTAGACTCATCAGAGCCCCTTGGTTTAAAATCATCATTATCAGCCATGCTCGATCTACTGCTGCACAAAGGCCCTCCCAAAGCCACGGCCTTCCCTCCCTCATTGTCCATCCACACTTGCATTCACTAAACTTTCTTTAAAATGCGTCCAGGAAAATAATTTTGAAGGAGTCTAGTAAAAACAGCTTTCATTTAGAACGAGAACTTAGTAAGATGGGTAAAGTTATGAAAGTTAAGTGGCGGTGGCTTCCCGCACAAATTAACAAAGGGTGGTGCTGCTCATCTGGAGCTCGCAGCTTTGAACCAGCAGTGAAAATTCCACATTCCTATGACCAACTCACCAGGAATGCACCCAATATTGTTAGATATTAAAAGCTAAGCTCAGCCTACAACAGGTGTTGTAGGCTGAGCTTAGTGCAACAAAACCCACTGTACTGTACTCCCTTTATTCACCAAATCGCACTGATGAGCACGGAGAAGTATGGTGAAACATGCCCCACGACCCCCACAGCGTGGGGAGGTGGTCGTCCAGCAGTGCACACGTTATAAATGGCCAAAATGACTCTTGACCAGGTTCTCATGACTTGTGTGAGCCCGGGGCGCTCGAACCACCGCACCACAGAGCGTGCGCGAGCGTGCGTGTGTGTGTGTGTGCGTGTGTGTGTGTGTGTATGTCACACCTACGTGCTCCTCCTCGCAGCGCTTGTGAACGTCTCGTTTCAAGCGATCGTCCTCCCATCGGCGGGGAGGACTCCGATGCCTGCGTCATCCGCGCTCGCGGGCGCCCGCGCGCTAGCGGGCACCAAGCCACTTCCCCCTGCCCGGTGTCGCGCACCCCGACGTCAGCCAAAGCGTGCCGCCCTGACAGCGGCCCCCACCGCGGTGATTGATGACCCCCTGTTCGAGGGGGCGGCAGGTCACAGAGGGGAGCCGCGGACGGGAATTCCGTCGGGTTGTAAGCGACTGCGCCGGCCTCGGCGAGCTACTGGGGGGGGCGGGGAGGGGGGGTGGTGGCGGGGGAACAATTTCCCCCCCTCCCTCCCTCCCTCTCGGTCTCGTCGCTCGTCCCCCTGCGTGGTTAAAACCGGGCGCCCCGCAGCGTTCGGTGGCTGAGGAAAGACGAGGCCGTGACACTCGATAAGTGTTTGCGTCTGCGAGCACGCGCGTGTCCCATGCGGGACAAAACAACGTGCGGCGCTTGTGCCGTGCGGTTCGGTTCCAATGCCGAGAGCGTGGTTTGTAGTGCAGTTCCTTCTCGGAGACGCTGTTTTAGAAACGTGTTTCTGTTTTTTTGACCCCCGCCCCCATGTTATCGTGGTTTGTGCTGTCGGTGTCTCGCCACGAGGCGAACTGTCACCCCACAGTGATCGGCGAGAAGGCCTGTCCACGTAAGGCCCCCGCGAGGTACAAGGCAGCAGGAGGCGACGATGGCTACACTGTGCTGATGATTCATAACGAGGGCGAAACCGGTGTGCAGTCGTCTCGTCCTGCTGCTGCTAAATGACACGGCCACAGTTTTGAGCTGGCGGTCTAAAGCGAGTCTGTGTGCCTTATGGGAGGGAGGACCAATCTCATGACCACAACAAATGAACCTTTCTGTGAAATCTCAGAAGCAGCTCTCCATCCGCTTCCGTGGGCCGACCGTCTCACGGGAAGGGTCGCGCTGAAGTGCGGATTAAAAATAATCGTCCAGATGTCTCATCGCAGCGGGTTCCTCCTTACAAACGAGTCTTGAGACTCCGTGAAGCTTTGAGAATCGGAATCTTTCTTTATCCTGGAGAAATCCGATGAGCAACGAAGCTCTTTTTGTAACAGATGTGTCAGTCGGGGTGGAACAATACCTTGACATCCTTGCGTCTCGTGTCGTCGTGTGTCCGCGAGCAGACCTGCTCGGGGAGTGCCACCGCGTGGGCCGCGAGGGGCACAACGCCTTCAGCCTGGCCCAGGGCTCCGGCGGCCTCTCTCCAGCGGCGCACCCCGCGCACGGCCTCAAGCGCGACCTCGTGCGGCTCGTCGGCAACCTGTGTTTCGCTCACCGCAGCAACCAGGACCAGGTGACCGCGCGCGGCGACCGGCGGCCGTGGCGAAATCGCCACCGTCACGCCGGCCAGACTTTACGCTCGCTTAGGCTGCCTGGTGCTCCTCCTGCGTGGAATGTTTCGCTGGCCGACTGCTCACCCGTGTCTGTCACCTCCCTGACCACTCGCCTACCCCACAGGGTCTGTACGTAGCGGGGTGGGGGTGCGGGGCCCGGGGCGAGTGACACTGTGTAGCCACCCCCCCCCCCACCCACTGACGCATTCAAACTAAACCGGAAGTAATACGGAAGTATTACGTCTGGGCGAAGACCCCGGGGCCGGCCCAGGACACAGGCGGGAATATGTCGCTCGGCTGGCCTGGGAACACCTGGGAATTCTCCAGGAAGAGCTAGAGTTTGTCGCCAGGGAAAGGGAGGTCTGGAACGCGCTAGTGAACACGCTGCCGCAGCGACCCTCACCAGGACCAGCGGACTGGGAACCGAACGAATGAACCGTGACGTCAAAAGCGTGGGGCCTCCCCGAAACGCGGGGTACGGGAGCGATTTGCCGTGTATCCCCTAGGGACTGCTCTCCCGACTCAACCGCTCTCCTACCTAACCGCTCGCTAACCTTGCTGGCCGACGCCAGAATCCCGTGGTGACCGATGTTAATCATTTACCAATTGGCAACGGAGCATCATCGGTAGCGACGGCCAAACGGACGCCGTTTGCGTCCGCTCCCCCCCCTCCCTCCCCGCGGCCTCTCGTTTGGGCACACGGCGAGAGGGCGTTGTTCTGTGCGAGCGTCTCGCCCGTCCGGTTTCATCGGCTGCGGGTCACGGTTTGCGGGGGATCGGGCGTACGGGGGGGGTCAGGGTTCACGCAAGGGGTCGGCTCAGGCGGTCGGCCGCTCGCCGTGAAGGCGACGACGACGAGGGGCTGAGTGAGATTGCCGAGCCGCTCGGCCATCCAGCGCTGCCCCCGTCCCTCCGCGTCACCGCCCGCCGCTGCAACGGCCGCCACCGCCGCCGGTGAAGATTCTTCCCACGGGTGACGCGAGGCGAACCGCGGGTGGGGGAAGTTATAGAAGCGGCTCGGGACTGCGGGTCGCCGGGGGGGTGGGGGGGGAGAGTTGCCGGGAGGGAGGGGACGGCGCGGGGACGTGGCCGAGCGGTAGCGCTTTTTTGCCGCTCGTTGGCGGAGCTTTGCGGTTGAGGCCACGCATTTGTGTGCGTGTGTGCCGACATCACGAACCCGGCGTGCCGAGTTCGATTCCCGCTCACGGCCAACACCGGTGACGATTATTTGAACTGGTCACCTGGGCCTCCCCTAAGTCGATTCGGCCTCAAATAAGTATCTGGCGCGATGTGTAAACATTGCCATGAGGGAGACAAAGCCGGCCGGGCGTGGTGCTGGCTACCCACCGCGCCGTGTGCCATGCCGCCCTTCATAGGTGCTCGCTAACAGCACTTGCCCCAACAGTCTGTTGATGGCTATTCAGGGGATCTTTGTCTTTGTGTGTGTGTGTGTGCCGACGTCACGGTCCACAAATAGCAACACTGGCCACACACAGCCTCCGCCAGCGTCGGAGGCTGTGTGTCTCCACTCTGAACGATGGTGTCCTGCAGCCGATGGTATAGTGAGCGTTAACTAAAGCGAGCGGGCTTGGGCAAGACATGCCGCTCTGTAAGGGTTCGCAGAGCGGCGGTCGGTCGAGCCTAAAGGCGGAGTCGCAGCCAAAGGAGGGGAAACGCGCTCCGCACAGATGGGAGCGCCGACGAAAGCATCTCATGCGCAGAAGCAGGACGTATGTTGAAATTATTTAAATTATTTCTCACCGGGCGTTTCCAACCGTGCTAATCGGAGGTGCGGGGGAAGGAAGCTGGATGGATTGTTGTATCGCGAGACCGAGAGGGATGGCAAAGGCTTGGTGGAAGCCTCTATCAAGCGGTGGATAGAGCACGGCTGCTGCTGATGACGATGGTGGATGCAAGGAAACGTATAGGATATAACAAAAAGTGCATAGATTAGCGTACAACAGTAACGCGTTGGATAGTGCGACGCTTTCCAACGTGCGTTTTCTCTTCAGGAGCGTTCGCTTAGCGGGAGGGAATTGGATGGGTAGCCTCGGGGCAAAAGGCGTTTTGAATTTTTGCCAAAAAAAAGCAAAAACAACTGCTCCAGTTAAATTTTGATTTAAAGCTTTCGTGACTGCAGGGATTCATATTCTTGCTGTGGTTTTCACACCTGATGCTGATTGCTTGTGTTGCAGTCGAAACGTCGTGAGAATTTTGTTTTATATTTTTATTGTTTCCCTTCTACGTGACTTTACGGAAAGAACCAAGAACATAACTTCTCCAGTGTTAAGCCTCAACGTTTTGGACGACGCTTCGGTCAGCTTGGCCGGTTTCGGTCGCCAGTAGCAACACAGCTAACAATCGTCTCCTCTCGCGATACAATCGGGATGGACGTAACTAATGGACAAACACTTTCCACTTCATTTGTAAACCATTGAAAACATAACGCATTTATAACAATGCTTTCTATTTACTCTCTAGACCCTACCCCGATGTCCGCAGGGAGGCGTAGCGTTGGGGGGGCCTAGGTTGGGGGGGGGCGGGGGGGGGGGGGGGTTGGCTAAGGATCGAATCGTCACACTGCTGCCCATCAAGATCACTCAACGGCGACACCAAAGGTGATCCACCAGCCGAGAACCAGCACCGCAGAGCGGCCGAAGAACCCAGAACCCAGACATCGCACCCCCGATCAGAACCGTTGGCTACGTACGGTGCGAAAGACGTTCAACATACGTACATAGAGGTATCGATTCGTATCCTGTCGTATCTGCTCCGCAAACCGGTAACTCGTTCCCCTGGCGCAGCGCCAGCGTCCTACCAAGAAGAAGCTGGCGCTGCCAACGCCCCCCCCCCCCCCGCCTCGAGGCCTTCTCGACGGTTTGGTCTCGGTGACCCCTAGAGGGCAATCCCTGGTCCTCTCGCTCCACCCTCCCTGCGGCTGGGTCCATTATGGGATTCGAGGGGAGTCTTAGCCGCGCTAATCTCGCGACCGCGAGGAGTGCGCGCCCCCCCCCCCCATTCCCCCCCCCCCACCCCCCCATTCCCACCCCCACCCCCCCATTCCCCCCCCCACCGCAAGGCCAAGGAGCCCTCAGGGCCCTGGAGGAGGACGCCGCCGCCAAATTCCCCCGGATTAGAAGAAACGGAACGGAACGCGGCAGCCACCCTCGAAGGTTTCGCGGCGAGCCGGCGTGGAAATATGCGCCTTATTTATTTAGTTAGTTCGTTATTTATTTATTCGCGTTGGCTGCAGCGCACCTGGGCGAAGCCCGGGGTTTGCGCGCTTGGGCAGGGATTAATGCGCTATTAATCCCGGCGCGCGCCTTGATGTGACGCGTGTGACACGCGTGACACGTTTGATCGAGCCTGTGCCCCCCCTCCCTCCCATCCTCCGCGCCCCCTCACACCCCCCCTCCCCCTCCTAAATATGCGCAGTGAGTGAACGCGGCGTTATCGTGGGAAGAAAACTTAGCCAGAGCCGAACGCAACGCTTAAAACGTTGACCTCTGGCCGACGTAGCAGGTTCCCTACGAACGAATGCGTTCAGCCGAGTTTGCTTTCATCGTGGAAGTTCGCTGGTGCGGTGCCCCCGGCCGTGCTTCCGCTCCGCGGGCAAACTCCACGCGCCAAACGAACGAACTATAAAATGGAAACGGTTTCCGGGACACCAACACCAACAACAACGACAATGACAAAAAACGGAACGACGACAAGAACAACAACGTGCGATTCTTTTCGCGCGCGCATACGGTAGCAGTTGGTGCTCGATCAGTCGTCCGGTCCCGGTTTTGGTTCGCCGATTGCGCGCGTGGATGCTTTCACGCGTGATCACCGATTGGCAGCGACTAATTAGCACCGCCTGCTCCGTGAGATCTGTTGGAGTCGGCAGTTTGTGGAGTCGGCCGCCGAGCCGTTGGCGGCGAGCAATTCGCACACCTCGTGTCGAGCACAAGAGACGCGGTTGTCACACGGACTCGCGTGCGCGCACGTGTACGTGTGTGTGTGTGTGTAGCACGGGTGCTCGCAAACAGCACTTGCCCCAACAGTCTGTTAGGGGTATGCGAGGGTATCTTTGCCTCTGTTTATATCACATGTGGGGGGAGGTGGCGTGGTGGTTAGCGCTACGCTGCGCTACAAACCCGACGGCTCGCGTTCGATTCCCGCTCACGGCCAACACAGGTGACGATTATCTGAACCGGTCCTGGGCCTCCCCTAGGTCGACTCGGCCTCAAATGAGTGTAAACATTGGCACTGGGGAGACAAAGGCGGCCAGGCGTGGTGCGGGCCACCTACCCCCCCTGGTGTGCCGTGCCGGCCTTCATAGCACTTGCCACAACAGTTTGTTAAAGTCTATAAGGGGGATCTTTGTCTTTTATACAGTACTTACACATGCACTAAAAAATATATAATAGAATCAGGAAAAACCAGGATTCCGGCGAAATTGGCCACAGTGGCGCGTTTGACGGGTGCCGAGTGGGCGCCGTGTCAATTGGAGTAGATGATGGCATGTGTGCGTGCGTGTGCGTGTTTGTGTACGTGGGTGCGCGTGTACGCAGGCAGGTGTGGCGGTGGGCTACTTGTCTGTTGGGCGCGTAGGCCGTCGGGTTGGTCGGCCGGCCGGTGAATCGGGCGAGTGGATTCATGGACGGGTGTACGAGTGTACTGATGTGTTTTGTGTGCTGGTGTTATCAGTAGGCTGGTGGGCTTTAGGACTGAGGTCCTAGTGGGCTCGTGTACTGGTGGGTCACTGGGGGGCTGGCTCACCGGTGTGCTAATGAGCTGTTGGGCTAACTAGTCGGTGAACGGGTGCACGAGCTTCCTAGATTTGGTGAGCTTGTGGACTGGTATGTTGTTGTGCCATTGTGCCGGTTGACCAATGGGGCTGGTGCATTAATGTCCTGGTGGGTCAGTGGGCTAGTAAGACTTTCTAGCTGTTTCTCTGGTGGGCTGTTGTACTGGT